GGGCAAGGAATATCCTAGATTTAATAAAAGCCTATAATATATTAGGTAATTAAGAAATAATTAATTAAATAAAGAAGATATAAGTTAAGGGATTTTTATAATACTTATATAACTATGATACTTACTATATATATATATTATCTTTTTTTTTAAGCCTTAATTCTATAAAAGCCTTTTTTTTTAAAAAGAAATATTAGCTAATTGAGAAAAAAATATTAACTGCCCTATAATCTATTAGTATAAAAATTTTCCCCTATAGAAAAAAAATATCAGTAGCTTAGCCGACGTTTTTTATAGGTAACAGGGGCATGGGTTCAAGATCTCAAATAGCGCGTTGTCTATGGACTGTGTAACTAGATTAGGTTAGCAGGCACGCGATATGAATTGGGTATTGATCTGTGGCAAGTCTGTCTGTTGAGCTGAGGAAGCTGAGGTTGGTTTTTCCGACAAGATAAGAACCAGTGAGACCCTCGGTTTTAGTCACACTTCAGCGTATCACAGAAGATAACGTTCATAGATCTCACTGGCCAGGTTGGGACGGACGCCACGAATTACAGTTGGGTGGCGATAAAGCTAAGCTGGATCCCTTCTGGCTTATCAATAGATCTTATGATTTATTGATTGCGGACGGAGATAAGCTTTACAGCGTGTTTTTCTCGGTTATCAATCCCCAGACTCCCCCCCATTCATGTCCCCTTAAAACGCTTGGCATTTGTTTTGTTTCCAACAGCTTGGTCTCTAGTGTACTCCTATTGATTGACTTGGCACTGCGCTTCGCTTTCCCTGTCTTAATCCAAGATGCAGTCAGACGGCTCGGACACTAAGAATGGCTTCGGGGTCACTTCCGATTCGGAACCGGCGCAAGTCGGCCCAGTGAGGCGACGATTCGGATTCAACTTCAGCCTCGAAGTTCACCAGGAACCGAGCTCCTTTGCACCGTCCAAGAACTTGTCCAATGCGGATTTCGATCCGATCCCACCTTCGAAGCGAACCTGGAATTGGGGTGCCTATGTGGCTTATTGGATGGCAGATGCATGGGCTGTGTCGAACTGGGAAGTTGGTAAGATTACTACGTTGTTTATACGTCACAGGAAGAGCGCGAATTGTTAATGTCTCGTGGCGTAGCCTCATCCATGATTGCTGTCGGGCTTAGTTGGCGAATGGCGATTGGAGCCTGTGTGCTTGGTAACTTTCTCATGGGCCTTGTCATTACAGCCAATGGAAGAATCGGAGCTATTGTATGTTTCTCACTTGGTGATTGTGACTCCTCATCGACTGACTGACTTGTTCACAGCTGCACACACCCTTCCCGGTTCTCTCTCGCATGCCCTTTGGCTACTACTTTAGCTACTTTGTTGTGCTGTCCCGCTGTGTCCTTGCCATTGTCTGGCTCGGGTAAGTGCATTTTGTCCTCTTGCTGCTGTAAGGTTCGTGACTGAGAGATGTCTTGTAGTGTGCAAACCACGACTGGAGGTCAATGCATGACCGTTCTACTGACCGCCATCTGGCCGAGCTTTGCCAATATCCCGAATCACATTCCAGAATCTGAGGGCATCACCACTGCAGGGATGTGTGGATTCGTGCTCTACTTCCTCCTTCAGCTTCCCTTCTTGTGTATCCCATACACCAAGGTACTACTCAATTCAACTTTTGTGAGCTGGACTAATATTAGGCTGATAATTGCAGGTCCAATACTTCTTCGCCTTTAAGAGTATCATTGCCCCGATCGTCTTCCTGGCTGTCTTTGGTGACACATTGCATAAGGCGGGTGGAACAATTAGCCACAGCACTGTGATTTCCAAGGGCACTACCATTCACGGTGCCACTTTGGCATGGGCCTTCTTCAATAGTGAGCGAAGCAGTTCTGGTAGTCTCTTTCATCCCCTAATAGTTGAACAATCTAGATCTCAACGGAGTCTTGGGTAACTACTCCACGCTCGGTCTCAACATCGCCGACTTTTCCAGATATGCCAACAAGCCCAGCGCTCAGAACGTGCAGGCCATCGTTATCCCCTTCATCTTCAGTAAGATTCTCCTGTTCATACACCCTATTCAAATTGCTAATTAGTGTCACCAGCCATTGTCGGTCTCCTTGGCATTTTCACCGCAGCTGCTTCCCAATCAGCGTACGGCGAGGTTCTCTGGAACCCCATTGATATCATCAACTTGTGGATGAAATCTGGTTCCTCTGGTGGTCGTGCTGCAGCTGCCTTCGCAGCCATCGGCCTGATTATCGTAACGCTTGGTATCAACATTTCCGCCAACTCAATTAGTGCCGCCAACGATTTGATGGCTTTTGCTCCCCGGTATATCAACATCCGGCGTGGTCAAATTCTCGCCGCCGTAATTGGTAGCTGGGCCTTTGTTCCGGTGAGTAACTGCACCTGTTTCTTTGGTGTCACAACGTCTCGTTCTCCAAAATACTGGCTTTGTGTTGACTAAATGACTGACCTTATGTTACAGTGGAAAATCTTGGCATCCGCCCAAAAGTTTATCGCCTTCCTCAACGGCTATACCATCTTCCTTGGTCCTATGACCTCTATCCTTATGACGGAGTACGTCCACCCTAACCTTTGCCTACTGTAACGCTTTGAAAGTTCGCCGACTCTAATCCTTCTTCAGCTACTACATTCTCCGACGCGGCAAAGTCTCGGTGCCGGACATGTACGACTTCCACGGCATCTACCGCTACTCGCAAAAATGGGGAACCAACTGGCGTGCTGTGGTTGCCTTCTTCATTGGCTGCATCCCCCCTCTTCCTGGCTTTATCGACAACATTGTCCAAGCGGGCCGTGGCCATACTGGTGTCTCGCTGGGAGGTCAACACCTGTAAGTCCTAAATTCCACCCTGGTCTTCTCTATCATAACATTAATGCTGACTGAAATATGTGTACAGCTTCTACATCGGTTATGTCTACTCTTTCTTATCTGGTGGCGTCTTCTACTATCTCCTTAACCACTTTTTCCCAGCCCCTGAAAGCATGGTGGAATTTGCTATAACTGGAGAGGACATTATTGCTGCTCAAGACGCCAAGAACTTGGAGATCAAGAAAGCAGGATTTGCATGTAAGGAGTCTGCTTAGATGAAACAACACAGTATAGTAGTGAATATGAGTAGGCCGCGAGTCTCAGAAAATCTCAGAGAATGAAGGGATATATCAGGGTTTATACTGATATTGATACCGTCTAAGCTGGGCTATATCTTTTAATTTCTCATCACTTGAAGAAGCTTACAAAGCAAATCCAGTTTGTTCCTGACCAGATGTCGTCCACTTTGTTGTGCAGTTGAGTTGTTTACCAACCTCAGGGCATCTAGACTACAGCTGATGCTTACATCACGCGCCTCACACGTGGCTTAATGATGACTTTTGTTTCCATCTCTGTACTTATGCTAATATAATATTTAAGGGTACAAAATTGTAAACCTATAAAAAGCTTCCTTGGGTCTTGGTGTAATGTTACTATGTTATACTCCTCCCATTACGTCTGGCTAAAGAACGCCCAGCATCTTGAGGAACGCGTTGGCCATAAAGACTCGTGATTGATACAAGAACAGCCCACCTATACGGCCCGGCGGTATCTCGAAGTCGTAGTATTCTTCTACACGGGTCCCTCCTAAGGAATTAAGAAGCAGGAGGCAAGGCGAAGCGAACCCGATCATCGACCTCATGGATGAGCATGGCTTGCTCAGCCTCTTACCACGAGGAACGAAGACATAGGAAGGAGTGGACTGCGAGAGCACGATCGACCTAATGCTCGCATGGACCGACCTAGCAGATGAGATAGTCCATTGCGGTATCCACCCGACCGAACACAGATCAGACCATAGGACGATCCGAACCGAGTTTAACCTCACAACGCCGGAGAGGATAGTGAGCCCGAGGCTGCTATTTAAGAATACACCGTGGAATGCAATTAGGGTAAGAGTAAACGAACCCTAAGGTCTTAATTGGGTCAGGGCGCTCCAAGCATCTTGCCAGCCTACAAGGCAGACACGGATGAATTGAAACTCGGCCACTGTTGAAGCCCACCAGACGTCAAGTCCGGGATTTGGGCCACCGAGTTGTCAGCTTCGGGGTTCTTGTGGGTTGTGACTTGTGAAGTAAAAAGTGAAGAGATTCGAAATCCTCGCGTTGTCCGTCAAGGGTGTCCTCCCCACGTTAACTATCGTTGAGATAACTGCACGGGCCTTGTTCTGGATGCTGTGAGCTGTACTGTCTTGGGTTGCCCTCCAGCGCTAAGCCAAGATTATCTTCGGTTGGTTGCAGGGTTGGCTGCCAGGCTGGAGTTCCATCTTTCCAATCATCCGTCATCCCCAACTCCGTCTCCGCAGACAACTCTAATCCCAGCCTTGGAAGAGTCTAGAACCAAACCAGGGCGTGATGGTGCAGAAATCAACACGTGGGATAATACGAGACCTTGCAAGGGATCAAGGACGGTGTAGCTATTGCAGAGCCTGCGACGACGTACGGGTTAGAAGCAAGCCCAACTGAGCTTAACCAACCCCTCCATCCAATTCGAAAAATTCTCGGCTACTTCCGATTCACTGGCAGCAATGGTTCAATCAATGCGCCGCAGCTGGTAGAGGCTCTATAATGAAACTTTTGGCCTGCTGGCCTGGAGTTGAGGTTGCTAGCACGAACTCGCAGTATGGAGCAAACCTGGCTGTCGGTTCGTGCAGGTTGTCCTGCAGCCGTGGCTACATCAAGAACAAGACCCAAGCAAAGCAACAGGCGGAGTGCCTACAAGGATTTACGGTACACCAAATAGGCTCTTTAGCCTCTATTCAGCCCTCCCTATATTATATTTCCAATGAAATGTCAATCAACTCCCTTAACAACAGTTGTTCTCTGTTCAAGCTGAAAGATCTTAATACGATGCCTACCCGACAACAGGAACTTGACCCACAGTCCAGCTCGAGTGTGGAGTCTTCAGCTGGGCCAATGAAACCAGCCACGAAGCGCCAGCCAAAATCGCGACCTATCTTAATTATAACATTTCTCAAGAGATAAATGAATACCCTTATTTATAAAGCTTTCAAGCATAGCCCGTCCTCACTACTACTTCCATGTACTGGATGTCTCGACTCCTTTGGACTTGTTCAGCTGATACACATCGCTGAGTGATTTATAGAGACTCTTGACCCTTTCTACTTCTGCACTCCATCGCTCTCGCTCCTGAGCATCTTTGACTTCTTCAACTAGGTCTTGAAGGCTTTGGGCGGTGAAAAACTTGTTCTTTCGGTTGTAGAGATCCCTATCTCTGAGTGATTCGGCACTTTCGCCCTCCGCCTTGACCCGAAAAACCTCCTCTAGGATCTCAATGTCGTATGGGATGGAAAATTGATCCCGGCTGTCTTCGTATGTGAACATGTAGTAGAACTCCTTGAATCCAGACCATGTTATGCCGCTGAGGCACAAGCTGCATGGTTCGTGTGTTGCAAAGAAGACACAGTCATCTCGCGTACTCGGTCGATCAACAGGATTAGGAAAAGTCTCTGTGTAAAACTTTTGAATGCAATTTATCTCTCCATGAAGTAAGGGAGAAACTCGCTCGTTGTTGGTTGAAACCGTATATGGCTGAAAGGTTTTGGATGACAGGATGGCGGCGCCAAAGACCTTGCTCCCAGAAGCGACCCCCTCACGGGTCAGTGGGACAATGTCCCGCTCAACTGTCTGCAGAATGGCAGAGAGGAGTTCTTCGGGTGTCCTGCAAGCCATTGTAGGGGTTTATTCGTGTTTTCAGATCAAGGAAATCATTTCAGCATCCAGGGAACTGGGGATATTAAATACTTTACGCTTATCTCGTGACTGATATCCCCCCTCGCATCGGGTTGCTCCGTTTTAAGTCTGGGCAACGGCAAGCGCCGAGGCCCGGAAGTAAGTAGCTGAAGCTTGCGGAGTACTTACGCCTCTTTTCTCAGCCAGGTGGCCCTCCATGTTGTCGATGAAGGTGCCTCTAGCTCATGCCTTGTTGTTATCTAAGATCTACTAAATACCTCAAACCACTATCCTGAAATAAGTTTGAGTCTTGATTTACTTTTTGATCATGATTGTATTATACGTGCGTTCGCGATCAGATGACCCTAATTGAAATTTGTTTATCATCAGATTGAGAGATAAGATAAGATAACCCCACCACAAGTCGCATCAATAAGAGGTCATTCAGGGTCTTATATCTTCAAATTATCCCGTCTAAGTATTTAATCTTGACCTTAAAGTTAAGGGAGAACTCTCAGTTTCTCCAAGACCCTGAGGACAGAGGCGAGACCAATATTGTCAGTCGAGATCCTCAGGTTGATGATTGCCTTGGTCTTGGACAAATGAGCTTGGTGTTCCGACGCCGTCTGACTTGCCTAACTCGAGCCGAGGCTTTCCCTGATTCCGCGGTCTTGCAGCAACAGGCTCACCGCATTCTCTCTCCTGGAGACCGTATATGTTTCCTCATGCTGATAGCTCTTCGAGAACTTGGATATCAATGATTCACTTCACTCAAGTCGACCCGAATCATAGATTTCGAGACGATCTGTCGGCAACGAGATCAAGAACCTCGATGCTCGTGACCATTGAGACTGTTTCTTTTCTGGTGTTAAAGGCCGAGTTGTCCATGAGCGACCTCAATATCTTTAGTCCTTGTTGGCCTGCGACCGTTTCATAACTTACCCGGTTCTCTCGTATAGCTCCAAGACGAGGGAAAGATTACAGCTGACAGTGAAACAAAGGTACTCAAATAAACGAAGCGTCCCTATTATAGATTCGTAGTGCATTTCGAGTCAGATGGGACTTGGGCAAGCGTCACGATGCTGCAACGCAACAGTAAGATCCGATGCCCGGCTTCACTCCTGCCATCCCCTGGGGCAAGAATCCCAAGCCGGGTGAGGTCAAGTATGTAGTTTGGGGTCAGACCTACAAGAACGCCAACTAGGATTCATGCAAAGGGCTTACCAAGTGCCATGGGGTTGGCCTCGAACCCTCTTTTCAAGCTGAATCCCGTGCTTGACCCAAGCTGCAACAACATCGAGCCTTACCATCTGCATTGTGTCCAACGGTGTAAATCAAGACCAGCACAACTGTCGGCAACACAATTAATGGATGTTGCGACGAGCCCAAGGGTTATACTGGTGACGTGGTATACGGGAACTACTGCAGCAAGCATAGCGCCTGCGGGTCCCTGCCGGGCGAGTGTAGAGAGGGCCGGTAAATGACATATTGTTCCCATGATACTAAGGCTCTTTAGGTGGTTCAAGGTAGCCTTAGTCTATAGTCGACCAGGGTTTGGCAAGTGCGGGTTGGAATACTGTTGATGGTGTTTTCACCGTCTTGTATCATGCCTATGAACTTAAGCATGGCCTGAATCATCTTTTTTCTTTTTTTTTTTCTTTTGCGCAGGTTATATGTTTGGGCAAAAATTTACCACTTGCTCATTATCTCATTATGTTACTATTAGAGACGGCAGCATTCCTTCACGATCCCATTTCGGGCAGCGCAACGTTACCAACGTTCCCATCCTTGATCTATGTCGTTCAATCTCTGATGGAATTGTCGGTATCGGTCATAGCCCAGGGTATTCGGATCATGCGGCATGAATAACGTGATATCTGGTTGCATCCCAAGTGATGCAAACGGCTCCAATGAAGGTCCTACCGCAGGCCCTGTTGGCCTGCGCCCTTGGATCCATTCCCTTTCCTCCTTAATATTGACACCGTCCACTGAGGTACAGTTCACCACCAGCTTGATTCCAGCTGGCACCGGGTTAAAGACCGACATGGCCGACAAGATGTTTTGGCGTAAGGGCAAGAGCCAAAGGTGTACAGCCATCAAGTAGTCATGGACAGTGACGTACAGCTTGTCTGATGCCTCAACCACCAGGGACGGCGCTTTGGGCGGCAAATCCTCTCCACAGCAGCGCAGCAGCCTGTCGTACATTCACCTATCTTCTGCGATGACCTCCTCAAAAACGCAGTCTTCGTAACCAGGATCACCATGTCTGTGTTCGTCCTTCCAACCGGCCTACCAATCGTCCAAGGGGCTCTTGACCTTGACCGTGATCGAAGATACGCCAGGCGTAGTCATCGGCTCTCGGGAGACTGGGTGGCAGGTCGCACCAGCCAGAGTTTGTTGAAAGTATGGCTGGCGGGGTCCTTTGAGTTGAGCAGGATCGTCCATAACAAAGATGATGGACTCCGGTGGGCTTTCAAGGATCCAGAAAAGGCGTTTGGCAGCGTCGCTGGCGCGGAGTCCTCGACCGGACAGCAACAGTTGGTTGAAGGAAGACAATGGAGTCGGTGTCATGGTGGGGAATCGTGAGGTCGAGAATAGCTTAGGCTGAATACGAATAGATGGAAAAAAGCTTTGGGTTGGATGGATGCAGGGAAGAAGAAGACGTTTGGCTCATAACATGGGCGTTGTTGGTCTTTGTAGAGGCACAGATGTGCATGTGATGCATGGATAGGGATGCAAGGGCGAGGGCTGCCCAATTGCGGATCTGGATATAGAGGAAACAAATCCTTCAAGTTAGGACTGCTTCTTTTTATAGAGTAACCCGCAGGAAGCACCTACAAGGAGATGTTAGCCGCATGTGGTAGTTACAGTATATATTAGCACCTTCAAGGTGTAATAATGTGAAGTATACTAGATGTCTACCTGGGCGTAACATTTTCTTCATGGGACTCTAGATCGCGCATATCGGTTGGTACTCCTTTGTTATCTTACAGCTCGGTGTTACGGATAGACGTTTGACCCAGTTTTGTTTGCACGGCAACGAACAGTAATAACACAGCAATCGTCACATCAACGCGTAATACTATATAATAGTCGTTAGATAATAGGCATTTTCCCCAGTGAGCAACTATCCCTCCTTGTCTTACTTTCACCTCTACACTTCATGACCCGACAATATCTTGATCATGAAACCTAATGCCTACCTATGCTTTGCAGTACGACGACGATGGTGAATGAAGTAGCCGCGCCGCCGAAGCAGCCGACATCAAAAACAAGGCTTGACGTCGACACAAGAGGAAAATAGAAGCAGTTAACAAACCAGATCTCGCCAAGATGGCGCTGACCAACTACCTGACCAAAGACCAGTGCCAGGCATTGCTTCGGCAGCCTTTCCCACCCAACATCTCTATCGTTCCTCCTGGTCGTTTCACGTTTTTATTAGCTTAGGACCCCTGTATTTTCCTATAATCCTTCATCACCTGAAAGAAGGCTCTCAAAAACATTCTCCTAATGCACGACATCGATGAGTTCAAGTTTAGGTTGTTTGAACGAGCTGGATGCATCGACGCGCCTGAGACGCGCCTCCTAGCCATCTACCCATAGACTTTGCTAACTTTGGAGGTTCCATTATCCTCGTCGTCTCTAGTTACCCTTGGTCACATGAATTTCGGGTCATACCAAGCTTCTAGAGATACCTGATGACTTGAAAAGATTTATCTGCTTCATCTCTCGCGTTCTGTAAGTAACCGGCGCGGAAACGCCAAGAGATAAGAAACTACGTCTGGGATCAAATGAGGTGAGCATGATGCAACACATATTGTACCAAGTAGGTCGATCACGACTGGCAAGAGACGGTGTTTAGACATCGCAAACTGTGAATCTGGGGGAGAGGAATGATATAATAATCCCACGATCGCCTGCTTCTACCGGACAGCTTCTCCCACGCCCTGATTCCCCTCCCAACTTCCGACATACCAGCCCGGAATGCAGGCATCCCCCGTATCTTTTCGGGTGGACGCGCCGCCCGGAAGAAACACCATGATCTATACCCGCCTATGACCCCCCAAAGTCCTCACAGTGTATGTCAATTCTAGGATTTGAATCATCCCAGCAATCGTTGACTATCTCCTTGACTCTGCCCATCAATGACTTTGGCCCGCATACGCAAATGAGAATTTGCTCATGGCTTTCCATATTGAGCATCGCGTTTTGAACCACAGTTTGGGGATTCATCCTCTCATATACGACACTCGCCTTGAGGGCAGGCAGGCTATCCTTGCTTCCAGCTCTGGTTAGAAGTGGCTGTGCCTCACTGTTCTCTGACTTGACGCCAAATTCGGCAAGATCTAGGAATGCCATCAGGCCGTCACTACCCATGGGGCCTGGCTCCTCTTTCGTGATGTGCAAGAACACATTGACCGTTGAATCGGCACCCGCGAGGTCCCGCAGGCCGTCACCAAACCAGGTCAAATGTTCTAAATAATTGGTTACCAACAATGTGCGCGTGGACAACTGATGATACATACCTGCGTGCTTGACAGCCCACACAAAGTCAATGGGCTGCGATATTAACCCTCCAGTGCTGTGCAGAATACGGTTCATGAAGCCAAACGTAAATGCCGCACCGCTCCCTCCGGCAATAAAAACCAATTTATCGTAGACTGTCGTATCTGGCAATGCGCCGTATGGTCCGTCCAATGAAGCCCAGGTGGCTCGACCTGGCTGCTTCATTGCAAACTCACCAAGAGCTTCAGTAAAGCCTTGTTGCGACTTTATCATGAGCTCCAAGCCTGAAGGCCCGTTACTGACGATGGTGAAAGGATGCAATTGAAAGAATCGCACGCGTGGAATCCATAGATAGCAATGTGATCCTGGTGTTGCGCCTTCAACGGATGGCTTTTTAAGAAGCAGTCGAGTTCCACCGCCTGGGAGAGGATAACAGACAGCCTGGTTGTTGACGACATTCCATGATAGACGTGATGTTCTCAGAGCGCGATCCATAACCCATAAGCCAGCAGTAAAGAGCATCACAATAGGGAGCTTTTTGGCCCAGAGCGGTCTGTGCAGTACAGCCAGGATGATAGTCATCACAAAGCCAGCGATGTGGCCGATGTAGAACATCTCATAGTGGCGATAGCGGTAAAGACCTGTAAGCAGGAGCATAATCATGGCGATGCCGGCGCCGATTCCTGACAGGTCTGATGCCTCGAGAAGCTTGGCTAATCGGCCTTGGCGACTGAGGAAGATGGTGTAAAGGATGGCGTGTAAAACAATGAGCAGGACTGCTACGTAACCTACAACTCGATGAAGAACATTTAGGCTAGCGTGTGAGACAGATGAAACAAGGGCCAGCGGTGTGTTCTTCATTCCAAAAAAGACGCACAAGGCCATGTTGGCAGATGCCATCCTAAGCAGACGGTCAGTAAACTAGATAGCCACGCGTGATGTTGAGAACAGTCACCATCCATATCTAGAGGCGAAGTGGTTGACTGCGTGACTGGCAAACGATGTCGAGCAGAGAAAAGTGTTGGTCACTAGGAAGACGCTGACCAACACGACAAGACCGAGAGACGGCCGGCCGAACCATTCCCATGCTGAGCTCAGTTCGAGTTTGCTGTAGGTTGTCAATACACTTCTTCTCTTCTTGTTGTGGCAAGACATTTCTCTTACTGAAAGGCAAGAATCGAGGCTCGTCGTGTAACCTCTTGAGCCTTTTCGACGGCTGACCGCTGTTTTTGTGGCGCCCTTTTGCTTGAGACATGCCACCGATGGCCCGAAATAACGAAAATGAAGAGGCCGCAGAGGAGGAAGGCATATACTGTTAATGTTTCTTCATTTTTCTGCTGCTTGGAAGGCGGTGGCCTGGGCGCAGATGCCATGGTTGAGCTCGGCATATCGGCAATATTGGAAGCAAACGACCCAGGTCACGGGAGGTCAGGGGAGGATGACAGAAAATAAGTCATGAGTCGGTCGGAGATTGATATGATTTGATTGATAAGTTGATTGATAAGATAAAGCGGGCCCTCGCTTCCATATGGTACCAACAGGGATCCTAGCGCCTTGCTCGTTCCTCACGGTGAGAGAAAAAATATTGCGCAAACCCCTGACGGCAGGGGTCAGTCCCGGCCTCAATTTTTCACTGTGAAGAAGCGACTGCAACGACGACGGCGCTAGTCGACTCGCAAGTGTGGGCGTGTCGATACTATCCTCACCCTCCCCGATCCGGTAGCGGAGACTCACGTTATGAGACAAAGAAGATGATGGATGCTAAGATTGTATTCTATTGACTGGTCTCAACTATAGAAGCCGAAATTTACAGCGCAAGGCAATTCTACTTCAACCTTTGTTAACCTATCCTCCGTCCAACTTTACATCACAGTAGCAGCAGATCAGTGATGCATATTCACGTCCTCGATACCCAGAATAACGATCCAGTTTGCCAATGCAATCACAGCAAGCATCCACAGCGGCAACCCAACAAAGGTGTTGCTCAGTCCCCAGCCGAGAACTGCGCCGCCCATCGTCGGTCCTATGATCCGGGCAGCGCTTGACGTACTCTGAGCCATGCCGTGTATAGTTCCTAGAGTATCTGGCGTCGGTGCACAATCGTTCACAAGCATCACAGTCGCTGGGTTGACGAATGTACGAGACAAGACCTGCATCGACAACACGGCCGATAGGCACGTCCACACGAGGGCCGAGTTGCTCGCAGGAAGCAAGACCAGGTAGGGCACCAAGACGTAGGCTACAATTCCCAGTGGTAGAAAGTAGCGGTACGAGTTCTTGACCCCCAGGCGGCCAATGAGCCTTGGATAGATGAACAGCTGTAGTGGTATGCCGATCATGCCAATTGTGGTGTTGGCGAATCCCATCTTCTTGCTCGAGAGCCCGAGACCACCACTGAATCGGAACGGGAGGTGGAAATCGTGTCCGTCCGCCTGAGGTGCTGGAAGAAGACTGAAGAACATGGAGTTGAATGCTGAAACGTGTAGTGACTGGAGGAAGCGCTGTGCCATGTTGAGGCAGACCTTCCTGGTCAATATGGCGCGAAATGACGGCCTTTGTTTGGGCTCTGGCTCAAGCTCTGGCACCCCCTCGATTTCGTCTTCCAGAAGTCGTGAGGCTTGGGTTGGCGAATAGTTGTCTTGGATAGCTTCATACTCGTAGCCAGATTTCTTGCGTCTCATGATCGTAGCCATGATTGACTTTCCCAGCGCGCGGCCGCGATCCCGCCGACGCCGCAGTTGCGGATGTGTCTCATCGAGGCCAAAGATAATCCCAAGTGCTGCTGCTCCAAGGGTGATGGCGAAGAATAAGTTGGGGAGGGCGTACGGAAAGGTCTTCATCCATTGGACACCATCTGCGCCTCCAAAGAAGGAGCCTGGGCCGAAGAGGCTTGACAAGGCATGGACTGGGTCTGCGAGGAAACCGCTTAAAAGTGGCCCAATGATGACACCGATATTGAAGCACATGGGGAGAAGTAGAAAGGCGCGAGCTTGGTGACTGTGAATCATCAGCATAGGATCTTGCCGCCGATTGTTCTCGTCGTCGACACTTACCGCTTGTCGGCAACAATCTCAGATACCATAGTCCTTAGAACACCAACATTCCCGTTCAAGGCACCGGCCAAGCACCGAAAGAAGAAGGCCGTGTGCAAAGACTTTGCGAATCCCATTCCCAGGGCCGATATGGCCGTACCAGACAGTCCGATGAGCAACACACGCTTGCGCCCAAGTCGAGGGTCATCAGCAGCACTCCCCCACCACATAGACGTGAGGCATTGTGCAGCAGCAAAAGCAGCAGTAAGGTAGCCAGCTTGCCTAGCAATCTCAGAGGCGTCCAGGCTCGGGTCGAACCATCGCAGCTGGTAGAAGAGGTACGACGTCAAGGACCGCTCGCTGATGGGCTCTGCCAAGCGGGCGAAGAGGATGACGGCCAGCTGACCCTTCTTGGGAATTGAAGCCCATGAGATATCCTGATCTCTCACTGGGGGAGCCGGGAGAGTCACGTACTGTGCCGGCGCATCCTGCTGCAGAAGGGGCGTCTCTTCCGATCTCGCCCTTCGCTCGTCAGGCTTGTTGGCACCTGAGCGGTTCCTGGTCGCTGAGCCCATTGGATCGATCAGACAATTCGCAGGAGTTAGAATGGAAGAAACAAAGTTGTCTGCGGGGGAAAGAAAATGTAAGAGATTGTGAGCAATGCAGAGCCTGGATGAACCTGAGCAGACGTGGGTGAGTGGGGGGGCCGCGATATATCCACCCCCCGTTCACAACTAACGAGGATATGCGCTACTACGAATTAGGGAGGGATCCCATCCATGGCTTCAGAAAAAAGTCCACTCCTCCACTTCTAGCTGGTCAATTGCGCGTCTACAGACTCTAAGGATCAATCCCGGCAGCTTGGCAGCAGCCATGCGAGAGCATCGCACCGTTTACAGACGCCTTCTTTTGGCTAGGATCAGCTCACAGACAAGGGATTTTCCCTACCAAAGGAGCCCCATCGCTGCAAGTTCAGAGACCCTACTCCGCAAGTAAGAAAGATTGTGTCTCACACCGACCCGCTTCCCACCTACCGACCGGCGTCGTGGCGACCTTGATCTCATCAGATAAGATATAAATCTGCCATCGCCGCCGACATGACAGCCTCAGTAGCAACGTCCTCCCACGACTGCTTCCACTTCTTTCTCCTCTCCATCCCCCTCCTCTTTGCCGCTTGGTCGACCCCCAACCTCCCAACTCTGTCACCATGGCTACTGAGAGAGCCAACCTTGACCCCCAGGAGGTCGTTGACAATACAGTCGTGACGCCCCAACGCTCCACGTCTGAGGACAAGGAGAAGGGTATCATGGACGTCACTGACCCTCTTCCCGATGAGCCTGAGAAACCTGGCGAGTTCCCGCTGTCCTGGAAGATCACTGCCCTTGTCTGCGGCCTGATGTTGTCCTGGGGCTCGTCCTTCTCGGAAAATACCCTTGGGCCTCTGAAGAAGACTCTCATCAAGGAACTAGACATCACCAATGCTCAGGTAGGTTGTTGCCTATGCCATCTGTGTCCCAAGGCGACCCCAAACTAACACTCTCCCCCCAGTATGGCGCCATTTCTTCGGCCACCTCACTGGTCAACAGCATTCTTCCCATTTTGGGTGGATATGGTCTCGATCACTATGGTGTTGAGTGGTAAGGGACTCTGCCCCTATCATGCATTCCAGGGTTGCAATATCGATCTTCTACTGACAGATTTGCTCACGATTAGGGGTTCGTTGATCTGCTCGGTTGCCATCTTTCTAGGAGCCGTCGTTTCAGCGGCTGGTTCCAACCAAGATTCTTTCGGCCTCGTTATGGGCGGTCGAATTATCATGGGCTTTGGAAGTACCGTCATTGAGACTTGTACATCCAAGGTCAGTTCAACTGCACATACACCATGACACACGGCGTAACTGGTGTTAACATCCTTCGTGCAGATCCTGGCTCATTGGTTCCAACATCGTGGACTTGGTCTCGTGTATGGCCTTGACTTGTCTATTGGTAAGCTTTGCGAAATCAGCCATCAGGGAAGCATTCCGTAGCGTATGCCTGCTGACGGTTACTTCTGTTGGTAGGCAAACTCATTGTTCTCGCCGCCAAGGCCTCAGCTGTCCCGATGAGGGATGCCTCAAGTTTCTGGGGCTGGGCACTGTGGATTCCAGCCATTGTTTGCTTCGTCAATCTGCTGCAGAACATCTTCTACGTTTGGTGGGCGCGAAGCCGACCAGAATGGACCCAGATGCCCACTGGTCAGAGAAAGGCCAAAGAGGAGGGAAGGTGCCGTGCAGCTGTGGGGCAAGGCCAAGTTGTCATGGGTGATGAAAATGTCGATACTGCCACCAAACGCACTGGTTGGACATCCTCTCTCCCAAACTGGAGAACACTGATTCGCGTGCCGCGATTCTTCTGGCTGGTAGTTTGCACTCAGATCCTTCAAGCAGGCACTGTCGGTGGGTTTAACGGGCTCAACGCCGATATCATCACCCAGACCCGAGGATCAACTGAGCAGTTGGCTGGATACACATCAGCTCTACAGCAGGTCATTCCTGTTGTCTGCGCTCCCCTGATTGGTTCTTTCTTCGATTTCTTCGGCTACAGAATGGCGTTTGTGAGTGCCACATCAGTCATCTGGATCTTGGTTTACTGCCTCATTGGTTTTACCAAGGTCAACGCTCTTGGTGCCATGATCATCGCCTCAGTGGCATCGACTATGAATGCCCTTCCCTTTCTGGCATCCATCCCCCTCATGGTTCCAAGCCAGCTCGAACTGGGTCTTGTCTTTGGCATCTGGAAGGCTTTCAACAATAGCGGCAGTGTTATCGTTGATATGATTGCTGGTCGGCTACAGGACCTCACCCCAGGCCAAACCTATGAACGCGTCGTCGGCTTCTTCGTGGCTGTCAAAGGACTGGAGTTTTGCCTAGGACTCTTCTATGGCGTCCTCGATAGAAGGTATCTTGCGGGTATTCTTACGATGAGTGAGAAGAAGCGGCTGGTGGTTGAAAAGGCAGGTGAACTCGGAGCCCCTGTGGGACGGAAACCCGCCAAGTCTTTCACGTTTGTTGGCATTGGGCTTCTATGCAGCATGATCATCATCTCTTGGGTCTTGTTTATCCGCTACTCGATTTAAAAGTCAAGTGTAGCGACAGGCCAGGCTCGAGACAGCTATCTTCGGACGGTTGTGTCTAGTCAGGGGCGGATCTAGCCGATGCCAAGATACATACAAGTTTAGGATAACATTCAGCATAGCTTAATGACTACGCCGGGAGATAATAGTTCGGGCAGTTCCTCGTCAAGAGCATGGAGGTCAGGCTTGACATGGCCCCCAATTTGTCAAGTCTGGAGTCACTGTTGTCTCTGTTGATGAAGCCTTGTTCTGTGGTCGTTACCGTTTAACCTAGCAACTCATGATGTTCCGCTACCGCTCTCCGGGGAAACAACCATGATTGTCCTGTCCAGCCTCTGCAGTCGGGATGGCTTTCCCATATGCTGCCCCGTCACACCTTTACCCCTGGCCAGAGACTCCGCGGCGGCTGAGTTACACTCAAGGTGGTGAAGCAAAAGTATTAGTACCAAGATCAAGGTCTCATCTTATAGGCCAGCTAGAACTCAGCTAGGGAAGAGGCAAGAGGGTGGTGGGCGTATTAACGGAAAGATCTTGGCGAGTATCTCATTCTATACAGTAGTCATCAAGATGGAGATAGCGTGTCTATTGAGAGAATCAGTTCTACCACGCGTAGACAAAGAACAATAACAAACAGCGTGCGAAGAGCAGTAATGAGCCAAACTTTGGTCTCACATTGCCTTGCGGGGTATCATGTATGAACGAAATACTCAAACCTTCAAACAATTATCATATATTCATCTCTTATAAACCGTCAAAGCCCAGTGCCCCAAGTGCCGTAGAAAAGCCACGACTTGGTAACACCCGAGTACGGTCTTTGTATCACCAATCATGACCGTCTCAATAAGCTGCACAGTCTCGCCGTCCCTCAGGAAAAGCAGTGTCCACACACCTCCATTGACCTGTACAAGCGGTAGCGTCGTGTCGACCGTGATGTGCTTCGAGGACGTGACAGAGAGAAGGCGAAGCCTCTTGAGGTGCGAGGTGGCCCACACAGATAGCTGTGCCTTGCCTTCCTCAGTCGAGCCAGCCTGCACCTTTGTCTCGATGCTGACGGCAATGGGCTGGTAGCGCAGGGGTGCAGTAGAGGAGTGGTTGATGGACTGGGGGTCGTTGGCTGCTGCGAGGCGGTCATAGACGTCTCGGACGGTTACCCCGCTGAGGGTTATGCAGAAATCGACGAGCTTGGCCTGGAGGTCTACGCCGGAGCGATGCTTGCCAAGGTAGGGCTTGTTGATGGTGGCTCGAGTCACATCCCAGTGTGAAAGGTTCTCAAATGGTTTCAAGGCCACGTCGAGTAGCCGTTCGTGGATCCGGGCGTTCCAACAGGGTTCGGGGAGGTTGAGCTCGATAGCTTCCTGTGTTCGCTCACACACCAGCCTAAGTTCCTGCAGTTCGTCGAAAGCGTTCCACGGGTTAGCTCCATGCTCCTTTGCCCATGACTCGGCGTCATAAAAGGTATGGTCGTCAAGTGCTTTCTCCAATGGGCCACGGTCGGCCGTGATGGCATGGTGCACCTGACGCGGCACAATGTTCCGCAGCTCTGATGCCTCCTTGGACCTTTCAAAGAGTGGCAGAACATCCGGTGTGAGTTGGTCCAGCCTCTTTAAGACGATGTGTTTGATGTGCTTCTCTGCGAGTGCAAGGTCGGCCATGTCTCTAACAGGGCTGCGCCGGCTTGACTTTTTACTCGGAGTTGCCGGAGGCATATATACAGCCGGCGCTGATTGCGTCATCCAGGTATTGCCATGGCCATCGCCCGTTCCAGCTGAATATTCTGATCGAGTGTCGGTCGTTGGTCGCAAGGGGAAGGACGCGTTCGGCGCCGAGGTGGATGAGGATTGATCCACGCGGCGTCTCTTTGTTGGGGATTCCGGTCGCGATATATCTCTCGGGTCAACAGGAAAAGGAAGGTCTTCGCTGAAAGGCGGCGACATGATGCTGGTGGTCTCGTGGGGTCGCTTGCGCTTGGTTGATGTCGTTGGCTCCGGCAAAGATAACAATGGAGATGAGGGCTCGAGGAAAGGGGGGAATTTAGAGGCTTCGGCGATCCAGGCCTCTATCTGACTGTATTCCATGTTCAGGAGGCAAGAACACGAAATTACGAGGGTGCGAGAGTTGCTGATTTCATTGCTCGTTGATCTTGATGATGAGGTACGCGAATTGAGGCCGTCGTTGGATCCGCGACGTCGCGTGGGGCAACCCTTGGCCCCGCGTCCGCGGCAAAGATTCGGTATATTCTGGACGGGAATAGCACGGAGCTCTTATTCCCCTGCATAGTGCGAGAAAATCCAGCGAATCAGAGTGGTAATCATGGCGGCCCACCACAATGAGGAGTAGGTAGAACGAGAGACGCGTGATCAAGGGCGCTTTCTCGAGATGAGCACCGCTCTATGTGCCAATCAATTGAGGGGGAGAGAGAAAGAGAGAGAAAGACGAAAGAAGAAAAAAGAAAGAAAAGAAAGGGAGAAAATATGAGAGAAGTGTTGCGCTGAGCAACCTTGCCAGCACAACTCAATCCACACGATTGTAACTTGCGGGCAAAGAGACGGCACTAGTCGATGGGAACATATTTTCCGCTACGGACACTACGCTTCATCCAGAGGCAATTCTCAAACACACATTCCTCTCTAGATCAATCCGGGTTCACAATCACAACTCTCTGTTTTCTTTTACCGACGCGTCTTGGGAGGTATAGTCGAGGAGCTGAGATTTGCTCATGGCTATAGGGTAGTGCTAACCCCTATTGTTTATCTCAGTACATCAAAAGAGGTTATCTCAAATACGCAAGTTCTCATAGCTCCCTCCAGTACAAGATCCATAGATAGTAGCCAGTAGTGAACAATTAAGAATGAGGCGATAGGCTCATTGCCAAACCTACACGTCCTCATAACTTGAAAGTGCACGACCTTTTTCACAAGTCGTGAGCCCATGATCGCACGTGACTCCTTGCAACACCGTGTTTTGTGCTTGATGGGAACGACGCGTGACGCGTCCTTATTTCCACCTGGAGGTGTCTTGGCAATCACCGACGCCTTACTGTTTCTGGACTAGCCCCTGCGGTCGCCCACCACTGTCCTGCCGGATGCGAGATCCCAATAAGGAAGTTTAACCGGAATACCGGGCCTTCAACTACCGAGGCTATTTTAAGTTCAGTTTTAAGCGATAAACTCAATCTTCAACACATGCCTCGGCTTATGTGTGCGATGCAAGCTTTTCAACCTCATTCTACTACCAAAGGCTTGATCACTGGACGACAATGGAAACAGCACTTATTATATGTACTATGTCCAATAAAGTAAAGTCTATCAAATGGTCAACTGCCACACACTGCTATGCCCAATGCCCTACCTCGCTCGTGCAGGGAGTAAAGGCGAGTTGTCATGTTGGAATTGCAGTGTCTGTGCCTGGGTTATAAAACACATTGACCCAGACGCTCAACTCGACCCCCAGTGGGAGTTCAAGCGACATGGCCTGTCTTCTGGGGCCTCATAGGCGCGCCTTGAACATGCAAAGGCATGTGGACTATGCATGCCCGCCCTTGATGAGAATCCGCGCCGTCTTCATCACCTAGCCACCAGGGTTCGTCTGCAGGCTACCACTTGGGTTCCAGGGAAACTTAGGAATCTGAATCTCCCCAACAAAGCTGCTCAAGTCGGGCGCGGCTTTGTTCATGTCGTATGCACATGTCGGTTGCTTCGTGCCGAATGTCTTGGCATCGGTGACGATTGAATGCTCGTTGTAGGAAAGCCGGGCTTGATGAATGGTGCGCCGTGACACGTCACCAGCAAAGTAGTTTTGCGGTGCAATAAACATCGATGATACAGCTGTCGTCATCACCGTGTTTGGAAGATCGGCCGTGTTGGGGAGATGGTGCATGCCCAAGTTGAAGTACCTCAAAAAGGGGAAAAGAAGAAGAAAAGTCAGAAGTGTTGTGATAATCATAGTGGCGCAAATACTTACAGAACAATGTCCTCTTGGTCTAGACTCTCCCCGTCGAAGAACTCGTCAAAGTTCACGGCTGGGTGATGCGGATCGTGGCTGTTGAAGGCGTATGCACTCTTTGGTTCAGTGTCGTGGTGTTGAAGGGCGTAGAGGTTATGATTGGCCCAGTTGGCGGATTGACCGAGGGCTGAGGATGACTGAACCGTTAGGTGGGCAGTACTACCGCTGTCTGTGAACGTCCCTCGTTAGCAATGTAAATATCCGTGTGTGAGTGAAGTTGACACACTTGGGAAAATGTGGTACCCGGGTGCCTCTCCAAAACTATTCAGCTTATCCTTATTGACAACGGCGTATGCAGCAGCTCCGTTCTTGGCCCAGGTAATCTTGCTGTCGTCTTCGCTGGTAATGTAGGAGCGGTTGACCTTCATGGTGTTGATAGGCTGACCATCAGACCACGGGTAGCTGATGCTGGTCAATAACCTGCTTGTGGAGGGGACGGAGGGGATCATACACTTGGGTAGTTGGTACAAACTCAGTTTTTAACAGACTGTTTTTCCTGCCCTTGATGTCCAGATCGAGCTTGAAATTGATGACATGGTCATGCATAGACCCTGACAAGTTGTCATGAATATGAAAGCCATAATCACCGTCTCCCGACCAAAATGCGCCCTGTATATAACCAGAAGCTCTAACCGTGACGGCAATGGAGCCGTCGTAGTGGAAGGAATACTCGAAGAGATAGTCGTAGTTCCCTACCGTCGAGACACTACGGATAGTAAACACAATGTTCTTACTCGCGGATACATGGGTTGATGTCAAATGACGCTGAATAGGATAGCCGGTATCGTATTCAAAGAGGCAAAGACTGTTGGGGTGCACATGAGTAGTTTCGCTGATGTAAAACGTCGTGTTGAGATAGGTGGCATGGGACGGGCAGTCGAAACCGTCAACCAGGTTCCATTGGCTGGTGCCAATGCCGTATGAGGAATCGAGATATGCTGATGAAGCATGTAGTGGGTCCTGCGAAGCGTAGTGCGCAAGCGCCTCCTGGAGACCAAGTTCGTAGATCAGACGCTCGCCCTTGTACCGGATGTCGTGAAGCTGCAACCCCGTCTCTTTTTGGTTGGAGACGAAGAAACTGAAGTCCACTGATTCGCCCTGTTAGTCACGTGTATGTATGATAACGACATCAAATGCACCTACTCCATTCAACGTAGTTCTGCTCTCTGTCGACCCCAAACCGTGCGCCTTCTGGCTGGACAGAAATGGGAGGGTACAGATGATCGCGCGGCAGCTTTTCGCCTTGCTGGTCAGTAGAGGTCCATGATCCATCCACATTTGTTCCTGGCCTTCTGGTCAAGGTCTCGATGCCCTTGCGAAAGGCGGCGGTGGTCGGCCAATAGTTTCCGTCATAATACCAGCCAACTACCTTCCACTTGGAAGGATCTCGGCCTGTTATATCGAGTTTGAATTGCAGGCTCGTTGGAAGTATGGTCTCGGAAAAGAACTCGCCCGTGTGCGCAGAGTAGAACTCGTTCCACTGGTAGATCTTGTCGCCGCTATGAGTTAGAGGATCACTACCTGCAATCAACAGTTTGTCGTCATCTGCACCGGTTGCGGTCTATTGATGCCATCAGCCCAAAGTTTCCTGGAAGCGCGTAGGGAAGATGTACTCACGCCGTTGAGAAGTCGCTTGGTGATGTCTTGAATCTCAGCTCCGACCTTTAGATTGAAAGCAGCGATGGCATCGCCATCAGCGTTGTACACGTTGATTCGGCCGCGGCCAGAAGTGAACATGTAGTTGAGCTCCTCATACCGGGTCGAGCCTTTCTTGACGGGTAGAGGGCCAACCATGTACTCCTGGATGTAGGGTTGCAGCTGCGAATTAAACTGCAAGGTCGCTCTCGCATATCGGGCTGGAACAGGACCGCGTCCCTCGAGATATGACAATGCATCAGTCTTGTTCGGCTGCAACAGGTCCAGAGTCACAATGACGTTGTCCCAACTACATATTATCAGTTGACGGGCATTGACATGGCGATATATAAGATGTCGGGGCAATTCATTGGGGAGGTCATTGTGGAGGTAATGCGAAAAGACAAGACTTACGAGGTCGAGTTGACTACAGCAGTCAGGTTGAGTTCCTTCTGCTGATGGAGATAAGCAGTAACTTGGGCATATTCATGATCTGTGAGACCCTGGAAGATGTTCTTGCTTGGTGCCGTAATGGTGACTTCTTTGCCAGAGCTGCAACCCTGCCGCTTCGAAGGACGACGGAGGGAATGTGGCCGTGCTGCTGGACCAGGGATGGATGGACGTGCCAAGACCCGGCTCAGGCAAGCCAGCAGACAGAGCCTCAAGCAAATTATGAGAAGCATGGCTGCTCGTGTTTGGAAACATGCGTGAATACACCTGGCAGTGGACGTGATGGGATGGTATGGGCAACCTAAAATAGAGGAGTACCGGCAGACGAAGGGGTTCGGACTCTGAAAATCTGCCAGCATATGGTTTCTTTTCCGTACTAACTGCTGCAGCATGGTAAACGCGGCACGGTACGGCGCGGGAAGGGCGGCGACAAGGAGAATCGGGGATACCATGTAAACTGATACGTCAGGTCAGCCAGCCACCTACACGACCAACTGCATCGACTAGGCACGGAAGCTACCTTCCCGCGCATTAGAGAGCGGAGCAAGCGGCAAAAACATGGCCTCAAGAGACTAACCCGGGAAAAAGAGTCAAGGCGGCAGATCGAAATCAGATCATCCGATCGACAACACATCAAAAGCATAACACAGGGGTCATTGCCAAGGTCCACTTGTTGATGGGTCGCCTTGGAAATGAATCTGCAGGACTTGAACCCACCCCTGTGAGCATCTGGGATCGACACAGACGTGCATCTAGTGAGTGTCATCGGGTATGGGGGGGGGTGGCAGTGCTCGCTTCCCTCGTGAAAGAAAGAAAAAAGTAGCACCAGCCGTGACGTTCGCCTTACGCCCTACTAGACGGGCTACATGGCTGTCAAAGGGGTTTGAAATGAGATAGAGGGGCTGGCACTATGACCTCGAGAGAGTGAATCTTGATCTTTTACTGCACGGGGTGAATTATACGGCATCGCCATTTTGCCTCTTGTTCAAGCTTCTACCGTGTCTCTAGACGCCCAGCTTGAGCAAACATGCTCTAATTGTCTTGTGCGGTGCTGGGTGTAAAGCCTACTCGCCCGAGAGCAAAACGAGGGAAGGTTAAAGAGGCGTCTCGGAGGAGCTGTACTACACCGTACAACCAGTCCTCCACAGTTAATCTAGCTTTAAACTATTCTAGCAATGTGTCTCCCTCTTCTTCCTCTATTTCCTCCCCCTTCTTTTCCACGGCCAGCTTTGCGTAGAGAGCAGCAAAGGCCGAGGCCTCAGGACCCTTTTCCAGGAGCTCTCGCGGAGGTCCAAACTCTTGCAACTCGCCTGCATCAAGAACAGCTACCATATCAAAGTCGTCCAGAGCCGACTCAAGCTTATGAACGATGGCAATCACTGTGCGGTTCTCGAACCGCTCACGCAGGACACGCTGGACAAGCTCATCGACGTGCGAGTCCACGCTGGTAGTGTCAGTATCTGGTGCACAAATGGGGGGGAGATAGAGGGCGTGGCATTGTACCTGCTTGTGGCTTCATCGAGAACAACGACGGGCGATGGGCGCAGGATGGCGCGTGCAATGCAAAAGAGCTGCCTTTGGCCATGGGAGAGGTGCAGCACCTCAATGGGCACATCAAGCCCGCCCTTTTCGACTACAATGTCCCACAGGTCTACAGCTCTCAGTGCATCCTCAATTGAAGCATCTGTGAGTCCGGAAGAAGGGTCCGCATTCAGCCGTACGCTGCCTCCCTCGATGAGGAACGCATCCTGCGGCACAGCCACTAGCCGAGTGCGAACCTGTTCACGGGGCAGCGTGCTAATGTCAAGCTCGTCTATAGTTATGCGGCCACCATGGAGGTCTATCATGCGGAAAAGGCATGAGACCATGGAACTCTTACCACTGCGAGGGAATATGGGTTAGCTGGAGAGGTCTACTAGAGGAACATGTTGGAGCCGCGTTACCTTCCAGTCCGTCCGCAAATGCCAATCTTTTGCCCCGCCTGGATCGACATGGATATGTTTTTCAGGACATGCTCGGAGTGCCTGTAAAAGGATGGGTTAGCAAGTGATTATGTGTGGGGATGAAGCGTTGACGTACCTATATCCAGCCGAGACATTGTCGAACTTAATGGTCCCCATGGATGGCCACATGGGCGGCGGTTGTTCCTTTTCCTGGGGTTCATGCTCCGAAGCGGTGTGGGATGTGAAAGACTTGATCCTAGAGATTGCGCCGATTTGAGTCTCCAAGTTTGTCCAGAAAGTCATCAATAGCTTGAGGTGCTGGCTAAACTGGATGATGTTAACGAGGGCAACTCCAATCAAACCTGTTGGGAGTACGCCTCTGAGTTGGGTAACAAGAACCATGACCAGCACAGCGATGAAGGCCACAAACATGTCGAGGACAAAGGTCAGCCAACGCTGAACCGCAAAGAGAAGATAGAAGGGCTTTTGGGACCGGTCCAGCAACTCGTGGTGTTTCTTCTCGAGGGCACCGCGCCACCCAAACGCGCGCAGTGTCACCAGTCCAGTGACAGACTCGGTGAACAGGGCATAGAGCGGGCTCTTTGCCTCCAGATCCATAAATCGAAGCTGGCGGGATGTGCGTAGGTACGTGTGCTGGACCACCCACAACGCCGCGAACAAAAAGGGGAATGCGACGGCCGTATAATACGAACCAGCGGCGATGAGTGCCATCTCGGCGATGCACAGCACGAAAGTAGCAAAGGTGTTGAGCGCTGAGAGGGGCAAGTCCATATCGATGAGCTGGAGATCTTGGCTGAAGCGGTTGATAGTGACGCCAGTGTCGGTCGCGGCGAAGAAGGACATTGGTGCGTTGAGGACTGTCTTGAGCAGACTCTGGTGGAAGTTGTTACCTGATAGAGGTACCATGGTGACGATCATCTGCCAGGTGCTTACGACTAGGAAGATAATGGCCAAGGCACCCAGCATGGCGTAGATACCTAGGTAGTAGCCGAGCCGTGTAAATGGATCCTTGGCATTGGCAGCTGCCCACCAGTTGAGCCAGATGGTGGGGAAGGACTGGCTGAAGATGAAGGCACAGATGGCGGCGACAAAGATCAAGGTTGGGATCCAGCCGATGGCGCGGATGTAGTATGTGTAGATTGCCACGTCCCCAGTGCGACGGCCGGCCTCGTCTTCGAGGTCCTCGAGAAGGGCTTCTTCAGAGTTGACCAGGGCATGAGCCGATGCCTCGGTAGGGGCAGGGGTCGCATTAGAGGCTTGCTCGTATGTCCAGTCTGCCGAGGATACGAGGGAGCGAGACACGTAGCCGCCAGAGCCGGTCAGCTTGTCCAAGCTCCCCTGCTCGCAGCCTACACCGGTGCCATCGAGACTAAGGATGTGATCTGCGTAGGGAATTCGCGTACCGCGTGAAGAGGCGACGACAACGGTTGCCTTGAGCTGCCGCAGGATGCCGTGAGTGCCAAGGAGGTTGTGGAATACGGCATTTTCAGTGTGCGCATCCAATCCGCTGAAGACGTCATCTAGGATAATGACATCTTTCTGCGCATACAGAGCTCTTGCCAGACTGATTCTTTGACTCTGGCCTCCGCTGAGAACAATACCCTTGCTTCCTATCGTGGTGAGATCCCCCCTAGGAAGCTGGGAGAGATCTTGTCTCAAGGCGCAAGCATCCAGCACCTGCTGATACCAGCGCTCATCTGCTGGTGAGAAAGCGATAATGCTATCTCGCACGGTACCGTTCATGTGCCACGGGGTCTGGTCGCAGTATCCAATTTCGGAGCTCGATACTTGGACGGACCCAGCCATGATACCAACCTCTCCAAGGAATGCCTTGAGAAGAGTCGATTTGCCACTGCCGACCGGCCCAACGAGAAGCGTGAACTTGCCCAGTGGGACTAGGACATCGATGCCGCTCAAGATGGGCTTTTTGGTGGTGTCGTATCCAAAAGAGCCAGCCTTGACGATGACAGCGTTGCCATTCAATGAAGTCTTGGCCATTGCCTCTTTCAGTAACTTGGGCTCTTCTTCGGGTGAAGAACAGTTCTTCTCGGGCTCACTGCCTGAAGACCTGGAGCCTAAGGAGTCGTCACCTTCGATGCCATCCTGGATGACTCTATCATCGACGCGGACATCTGTACTGAGGAAAGATTGGATGCGCACAAAACTCCCGATGGACCCCATCAGGGAGGACAGGGACGTAACAAACGAAGTCAGAGGATCCTGTAGGAGTGCAAACAGAGATAAAGACGTAAACATGCGGTTTGTGTCCAAGTTACTGCCTCCCCCCCGTGACTGGGCGAGCACGCTGTACGCCGTGAAGGTCAGGATGGGGGCGAAGATAGGAGCAAGGTAGGCTATAGGTGTCATAGTTAGCGAGGTTTCTTGGGAGCAGCGCTCATGACATGTGAATCCATTGTAGGTACTCACCCAAGACCATGTTCCAGATCAACAACCTGCGGAACTTGCCCGAGATGTGCATCTCCTCGTTCCGCATGGCCTGAATGCGTGTGCCGAGAACGTCGGTCAGGCCGCACATTTTGACGCCCTTCATGGCCCCCAGCATCTGCGATGTTGCCGCGATTCTCTTTTCGATGGCCTCGAGCCACATAGCTTGGCGAGCCATGACGAAGCTGACGGCAATAACAGAACCGACGATGGAGACTGAATTTGTGCCGAGTCAGCACATTGATCATTCGTTATAGCTCCTCGAAATCCAGTGTGAACTTACAGATTGCGGCTCCGACAGGAATGAGGCAAACAACGCCGAGCTGACGTTCCAACAGGTAGACTGCCACGGCAATCTCGACCAAGTTGGCCCAGACGTCGTGAGCGGTGCGCCATCCCGTGTCAATCCTCTCAATATCAGCGCTCATCAGTGTCAGGGCTGCGGTAGGGTCGGCAGCCGTGATGTTGATATCTGTAGCCTTGTCATACAGCATCGTTATGAGCTGACCACGTGCCATGGTGATGGCGCGATACGTCAGGTGCTGGTACTGACCAGTCGTGACCTGTGATGTTAAGCATCAGTTAGATGCTGCTATGACTCTCACGTAGGGAAGAACATACTCCTATCCCGACGAAGACAATGAACCAGGTGCCTATGAGGCCGTATCCCTGGTTCATATCGTTAGAGTCGCTATCCTTTTCGGCCCACGCCAGTGTCGTTGAGATGAGGAAGGGTTGGCAAAAGGTAAAGGCAATGAAGCACAGACGCGGGAAAATGATGGACAGAATAGGCCCCTTTAGTGTTCTGAGAACGACCAAGATTAAACCACTGCCCTCTTTTTTAGATGCTATGTGACTGTTAGTATCCCGTATGTTGCATGCATGTGCAGTGCTGGAGGTTGGACGACAAACATTTAACCCAGGCAGTCTGCACTAGGTCCTGCAGATATGAAGACTTGAAATGCTTTGCAAGAGGGAACAAAGACTCAATCTCCAATTTCTTGGAGTAGCCAGCGCGGAATAGAGGGAGTTGCCACCAAAATACCCATTGGGAGAAGACGCCGCTCGTCACCTCGGGAGGCAATGTGCGGTACTGAGGACGTAAGAAATCGCGTTTCTCGACAGTCTCGACAACCAGCATGGCAATCTTTATGACCGTGGCGACAAGGGCGGCAATGGCCGGGGACCGATTGTAGCCCTGAAGCCATAGTGTTCGCGTTCGTGTAGCGTCAAAGAGCACCGAGAAGAGTAGGAAGAGGTTGAGCACCGTCGATGGCCGATACGAGTAGACATGCTCAACATAGGATAGGCCTAATAGGCTAATTGATGCGACAAACGATAAGGCGGCAGTTGGTAGGGAGGCTTTGGTGACGACGGCTGAAGATTGAGTCAACAAGACGAGAAAGCCGATTTGCGATGCGATGAGAAAAAGGCACAAGATCTAACAATTGTTAGAACACAGGTCACGGGAAACATTAGAGCAGTCGACTTGCAAGTTTGAAGTATAGCCAGTAGCTGCTTTCAACCTTTACCGTGTTCTTGCGCAGGAGGTAGACAGCTCGACACGGAGCTGCGAGGAGTAACAAGGCATTGATGGGTACAACAAGTATCGACTCTTCAAAGAGCAGCGTAAAGTCGAAGCCGCCTCTGCAGCCAGTCGCATGCGGCCCGAAAGAGTCGTCGTCGCACAAAGATGAGGCCATGGCGGTCGCGGATGGGATTTTTTCCTCAACCTGCCCAGAGACCCGAGGGCAATGAGCGCAATTGAACGTTCAACGGAGCTGCAAACAGATAGAGGGCCATCCGTATCCTGCCTTGAGGAAAGCAAAGTGGCCAAAAGAACACGCAAAAAAAAAAAGAAGGAAAAAAAAAGACACGTCAGACATGGTTCGGACATGGTTCAGACAGACAGGATATTGTGGTGTGGAGTAGCCCGCTTGGCGCGACATGATATGAGCAAGGCGGGTCGAAAAGAGCGCCTCACTAAAATTGTATAGTTCCAATAGTTATGGAGAGATCAATGGTGATTCATTCTGATCAGATAGTTATGGGGCCGGGACGGGCCGGGACGGGCCGGAAAAGGCACGACACATCACATTAACTCAGCTCAACGTCCAACTGCCGTGCCAAGGCATGGTACCAGCCAGGCTAATGCGGCATGTTGGAGGTTGTGGACTCACGTGGCGCGTCTTACTACGTAGTATCCTTGTTTTATGTCGATCTTGGTAGTATTGCTAGATCCCTCATCTGCCCAGGGGTTGACCAATGGATGAGGACGGGCGGCAAAAAAAACCTGGATGACCACGAGGTGCTGATGAAAACATGGGGCGCCAATGTAACCTCCTCTAGATGTCAACGGAAGAGAAATAATGGTGATAATTTGATAGAGTATTAAAATAACTATGAAAATGTCTTGTTTCTTATGTTAGTCTGGTAGCTTGACCTTGGTTCGACTATCAACTTAATCCCTGTTTGCTATCTCAACTTGGTATCTCTAGATCCTTTTACGGCTGCGCAATGGCGTGCTAGCCGGAGGGCTGGGTGGATCTATTTTCCCCTTCCTTGTTGTTGGTACATGATCGAGTCAGTGAAGGGCTCAGACAAACCAAGAATTGGACGGGGCGTCCCACCAAGACTCGTATTTCTCCCCCGGCCTCATACCCCTGTGTTACCCCTGTGTTCTCTGCAATTGTTGGATCGTGGCCTCCCATACGCTGCTACGTGCATACGAATGCTACCTTCTCGGGTGGTCCCCGCCACCACCCCAGAAGTGAGTAAGATCATCATTGCCCAGGCGCCTGGTGTTGGTTCCATACCTAGTCTTGTCAAGAATAACCGAGAGAGGTACAGTTTCTTGGGGACCACAAAGGACTTGAAAAAGTGAACGAGTCGTATTTCTCTTTACTCTAGCATCCGCTCAGCATTTACAAAGTCTCATAGTGGCAATTAAAGCCCTAGATGATCTCTAGTTTTATTCCTTCTTTAGTAGTTATCATGATATTCGGCCTACTGCCGAATCAGGCTCTGGCTGATCAAGCTAGTCTTTTCTTGTTTGTCCATGGCCAAGACTGTGCATTTCCCCAACCAACATCGTGTGGGGCAGTATTGATTATTTCTGAACCCCGAGGGTTCCGCGGCGTTGCATTAGTGGCTGGTTCCCTTGAAATGTGAGTGTAATTGGTTTCTACATGCAGCTGTAAAATGTGTACTGTTTCTACCGTCGCCATCAGCCGAGGTGTTGGATGTCATGTTTTTAATGGTCTTACGTATTGTATCATATTCTATAAGATTACTATGTAATGGGAATAGAGTTAAAGAAAAAAAATCAACGGTCTGCCGTTTTAGGTGCAAGTCACTCAACTAGTAGGCTTTCTTTCCAGCGGCATGCATTCTAACCAAGGATCTCAACGGATACCCTATTCAAATGCCATGTAACTGCCCAGCTTCATGACTCCATAGTCAGATCATCCGGTGTGATTGTGTCATCTAGTCGGTGATCAAGCCACCACTTGAGACCAAAGAAATTGTCAGCAGTGTGAATGATCTCTTTTCTTCATCACCAGGGCCCCGACAGCTGTCCAATACCAGGTCTGTTATCTCATTCTCGTGTTCAGCCTAGTCGTCATTTCAAACCACGGGGGGTTAGCTCCGTTCTCCTGATGTCCGAGTGAAGAGACAACTTACTAACCTCGTAGTGGCAATTCCATGCAGCTCATCATCGATCCGAACTTTTGTACCGACATATTTCTCCACAGGCCTACAGACGAGGCCACGGATGGAGGCTATCCAGAGCTGAAGCGCCGGAGTGCGCATGGCCTCAGCCTGACTGTAGTTGTCATTGGCGTACTTATGGACTGGGTGGGCAAAGGGTGGAGACAAGGAGGTTGTTTTCCAGCTGAAGCCAGGATCTATTTGCTTTGAATTCTCATCAGGGACCAGCATAGTTATTGTCTCCCGAGTCAGTGCATCCACCTACATCATGACAACGCGCAAAATATTCCTCCTGCCTTGAAGGCCAACCCCCCTGGTCGGACGTGGCTTGCTTGCACCCACGCGCTCCCCTTTCGGGGAGTGAGGCGTTCCCGCCTTGCTTCGAGTCTTGTTCGTAGCTAGGTCAATTATATCTGCTTCATGATCCATCCCAGCAGCCGTACGCTTGCCCATGAGGTCTATGATTCCTTCGACGCAGAAGCTTTAGACTCTGCTTCATGTTAATCAACTGTTTCATCTACCCCCCTCGAGACACACTATATGCACACAATATCGCCAAACCCTTTCAAGACATTCCAAACGATGGAGCCACCTGCTTGCGGTTGTATCCAGGTGTCTGGTCGATCAATGCAAGATTTGGAGCCCAGCATCTTCCCGGCATTCGACGTGGGTGAGAAGGATGAGTCCAGTCCCCCGGGTTTTACCAGTCGGTTGGGATGCAGTGCACCCGGGGATCTGCCTCAGACGTGCAGCGTTCTATGCACAGCATGGGGAGTTCTTCTCGGATGTTTCACTGGACTTGAGACTGTCTACCATGGCTTTGACTGCGACCATAACATCACCACAACCTCGGGACGTGGACATGATGTTACGCCAACTGCACAGCTGAACGTGCCCGCCAATCAGAGTGTTCGAAGCATCCTGGCCGGTGGCTTTTGCACGCTGCTGTTCCTACCGGAGACCAAGGCACAAACGTTGTACAACACCACACTTTCCATCCGCAACTTTGCCCGCGAGCCGAGCGATGATAATGATGAGAACCGAAAGATGAGCCACGATTCTCTTTCATGGTGCAAGATGCATATGCTCGTGGACCCTACCACCCTCGACACCGTCCTGTCGTGGGACCCCGTCTTCATGACTCGAGAACAGGCGGCGAACATCAGCAACACCTATGACAAGATTGTCAGTGAAATCATCAACCGCCCCGAGACTCTCGTATCAAACCTCGACTGGTTTGGTGACCGAAACGAGCGGCAAGTCCTGGCGTGGAACAGCAACCCAAAGAGCAATGTGCAGGAGTGCATACACCAAGCCGTATCCAAGCATGGTGCATTGCGACCTGATGCAGAGGCGGTTTGCGCTTGGGACGGGAGCTTTTCATACTCCCAACTTTTATCTCTCTCGGATCGCCTTGCTTGTCGCTTACAAGCCTCGGGCGTTGGGCCCGAGATCTTTGTGCCGATTTGCTTCGACAAGTCCAAGTGGACTGTCGTTGCCATGCTGGCCGTGCTCAAAGCAAGTGGGATCTTCGTGCCTCTTGATCCTACACACCCATTACCGCGCCTACAGTCCCTGGCACGCAAGGTACAAGCCCAGACCATCTTGTGTTCTCCCCAGCACCAAGCCATGCTAGCGAGTGTGGCGGCCGAGTTGATCCCTGTTGACGACCAACTGTTCATGGAGTTGGCCGAGCACGACGGCAGCGAGGTCAACTGTGGTTCATGGAGCAACGGTGCCTACATGATTTACACAAGTGGAACGACTGGAGAGCCAAAGGGCGCGTTGATTCAGCATGGGGCCCTCATGTCGAGCGCCCTTGTCCATGGACCTGCCATGATGATGGACTCCAACACGCGATCACTGCAGTTCGCCGCGTCCACTTTTGACGTGAGCATCACCGAGATCCTCACGTGCTTGGTTCTTGGTGGCTGCGTCTGCATACCCAGCGAGGATGCCCGGCTTAACGCCATCGAGGATGCCATCACGCAGCTCCGAGCCAACTGGGCGCTACTGACGCCAACCTTTGTCAAATTTATAGACCCTGCCAAGGTGCCATCCCTCTGCACACTTGTTACTGGCGGGGAAGCCATGACGCAAGCCGTCATTGACTCGTGGTCTCACATCAACCTCATCAACTGCTATGGCCCTGCAGAAATCTCGGTTGTTTCACACGTAAACCGAGGTATGAGGAAAGGCAAGAACCCGTTGAATATCGGCCACCAGGTCGGCGTTCATTGCTGGGTTGTTGATAGGTACAACCACGACCGACTGATGCCCCTGGGAGCGGTGGGTGAGCTGGTCATCGAAGGCCACACGCTTGCACGGGAGTACTACAAGGAGCCCGAGAAGACGAGCGAGGCTTTCATTGTTGATCCCGCGTGGACACGCAACCAACCACGGCAGAATGGCCCTAGGCGCATGTACAAGACGGGCGATCTCGTCAAGTACAACCATGACGGCACCCTTCACATCGCCGGGCGCAAAGGCTCTCAGATCAAGTTTCACGGACAGCGCATAGAGCTGGGCGAGATTGAGCACCATCTCAGCGTCAGTGCTTGTATAAAGCACGGCATGGTCGTTCTGGCCAAGGAAGGTTTCTGCAAAGGCCGACTCTTGGCCATTGTTCAGCTCAGCGATGCTTCGAACCAGGACCTAGTGCCCAAGGGCCAACCTTACAAGTTGATTGATGGTCAACTGGAAGACACTGCGCGAGTCAAAATCGCCGAGGCAAAAGAGCTTCTGGCCGAAAGGCTGCCACCCTACATGATCCCTTCCATGTGGATCGCCGTTGAGTTCATCCCTCGTCTTCAGTCAGGAAAGCTTGACCGCAAGCAGACTGCGAAGTGGGTTGATGACATGAGCGAGACTCTGTACCGACAACTCAACCCTGTCATAGCCACCAGGACTTCAGAGGACCTCGAGTTCTCCAGCAAGACCGAGTCAGAGCTACACGAGATCTGGATGCACGTTCTGAACCTCAAAGCGGAACAGCTTGGCCTTGGACAGTCCTTCCTAAGCGTTGGCGGTGACTCCATCTCGGCGATGCAAGTGATGAGCGAGTGCAGGAAACGTGGCCTCGGGCTGAACGTTTCGCAAATCATTGCTTGCAAATCAATCAGAGCGCTGGCACTGCAAGTCAAGGATATCGATAGGCCATCGTTCCACCTGGAGGCTCTGGAACAACCCTTCGAGCTCTCGCCCATACAGAAGCTCTACTTTGCTAGACCCAACCACGACCAAGGCCACTACAACCAGAGCTTTCTCCTTCGCACAAGCCAGCGCATTCTTGAGCCAGATATGCGCAAGGCCATCGAGACCATCATAAGGAGACACTCGATGCTCCGTGCCAGGTTCAGCCAGGACGCCGTCGGTGAATGGAAGCAGCGAGTTACTAACGAGATTTCGTCCTCGTATCGGTTGCGTACCCTAACCCTGGCTTCGAGTGAGGAAGTTGGCCGCTCCCTCATCGACAGCCAGACTTGCCTTGAGGTTACTGACGGTCCTCTGCTTGCTGCTGACCTCATTGATATAAATGGGGAAGAAGAGCTCCTGTTCGTGGTCGCGCATCATTTGGTCATTGACCTTGTATCCTGGAGGATCATTCTCCAGGAGCTAGAAGAGCTGCTGCTCCGGCCTGAACTGGTCCCCGGCACAGATCGCCCTCTGCCTTTCCAGGTCTGGTGCAAGATGCAGTTGGAACATGCCGAGGCCCAGACGCCGGAGCAAGCTCTGCCAATCCATGGCATCCCTGACGGGAACGCCGAGTACTGGGGAATGGTGGACACGCCGAATGTCTACGGACAGATGGCCCATGAAGGCTTCGAAATTGGACCTCGACAAACATCCCTTCTCCTATCCAAATGCCATGAGTCATTGCGCACCGAGATTCCCGACGTTCTCCTGGCGGCCATGATCTTCTCTTTTGGTCAGACATTCACGGACCGCCCGATCCCGGCTGTGTTCGCCGAAGGACACGGCCGAGAACCCTGGGATACTTCCATCGACCTGTCCAACGTGGTTGGATGGTTCACAACCATTTACCCGGTCTTTGCTGGAGCAGAGGCGCAATCCAGTCTCGTTGACACGGCGAAGCTGGTCAAAGATGGACGGCGCAAAGTTCCCGATAGTGGGAGACCTTACTTTGCGAGCCGCTGGCTGACAAAAGCGGGCGAAGACGCCTTTTCCCGTCACTGGCCGCTTGAGATTACCTTCAACTACCTTGGCCAGTATCAACAACTGGAGCGTGAGGGTGCTCTCTTCACCCCTGTGAGGGATATCGCTGGCGAGGTCAAGGGTGCTACCGACGGTGCAGACGTCGGTCCCCTAACAACCTGCATCTCCCTTTTCGAGGCTTCTGCTGTCATCATCAAGGGTTCTCTCCGGTTCTCCTTTGTCTTCAATCAAAACATGAACCATCAGCCCGAAATTCGTCAGTGGATTTCTTCTTGTCAACAGAGTCTCGGCGCCCTGATTGAATCTCTGAGCGTCATGCCCCCTGAGCCTACGCTGAGCGACTTCCCACTACTCTCCCTGACCTACGACCGTCTTCGACTCCTCACGGAAGAAAAGCTCACCGAGGCTGGAGTTAGATCTATGAATCTAGTCGAAGATGCCTACCCTTGCTCTCCCCTGCAATCGGGACTCTTGATCAGCACGACAAAGAACAGCGCCTTTTACGCCGCTTACACGCTCCATCAGGTCAAGAGCAGAAGCGGTATGCCCGTGGACGTCACCAAACTTGCCAATGCTTGGAGACGCTTGATTGAGTACCACCCCATGCTCAGGACCATCTTCGTTGAGAGCGTGGCCCAGCAAGACTCACTCTACGATCAGGTAGTTCTCAAGGAAGTCGACTTTCCGCTCATTGTGTCAGAGAAGGATACAAAAGAGGACGCCCTGACCGCTCTGAGCGCCCCGCCTCTGCACCAAAGAGACAACTCTCAGCTGTTGCATCACTTTGAGGTTTGCGCAACCAAGAGCGGTGAAGTCTTTTGCAGACTTGACATTAGCCACGTCATGATGGATGGGACATCTCTGTCAATTCTCTTCCGTGACCTCGCCCTGGCGTACGAGGGCGGCTGTGGATCTGGGGAAGGTCCGCTGTACCGGAACTACATCAAACACCTCCAAGACCAGGCCATTCAGCCCGGTATCGACTACTGGAAGTCATACTTGGCGGACGTTGAGCCGTGCCACTTTCCCGTTCTCGACGACGGCATCGTTGCGGAATCAAAGGACTTGAGATACCTCAGGGTCAAGTTTGGCGAGTTGGCGAACCTGCAGAGCTTGTGTGACGATCAGGGAGTCACCATTGTCAACGCTATATACGCTGCCTGGGCATTGACACTGCGTCTTTATACATCCTCGGAGGATGTCTGCTTCGGCTATTTGACGTCGTCTCGTGACTTGCAGATCCAAGGCATCCATGACGTTGTCGGGCCCGTCATCAACATTGTGCCATGCCGCGTCAACGTTGGCGCGTCTACCACTCTCGGGGACATGATGAGCTTAGTGCAGAGAGATTACCTGGATAGCCTGGACTACCGACACACTCCCTTGGCCGAAGTCCAGCACGCACTGCACCTCTCCGACATCGCTCTGTTTAACACAGCCGTGTCATACAGAAAGCTGCTTCCTACCCTGCAAAGCCCTCCGGATCTCGTATTCGAGGAGTGTCGTCCTACCTATGATCCCGACGAGTACAACGTATCCGTCAACATCGAGGCAGGCGAGAATGACATGGCTATTGACCTGATGTACTGGTCGGATACCCTGTCAGACGGACAGGCTGCGAATGTTGCCAGCACTTTTACCAAGGCGCTCAGCAATGTGCTTCATCACTGCAACCGGCCCGTGGCTCAGCTCGATCACCTCGGTTCCTGGCACCGCCTGCAGCTCTGCGAGTGGAACAAGCAGATGCCCGAAGCCGTTGAAAGCTGCCTTCACGACTTGTTCAAACAGCAGGCACTGTCTCGCCCTGATGCTCCCGCGCTGGCTTCGTGGGACATGAATTTCACCTATGCTGAGCTTGATGACGCCTCTACCAAGCTTGCTCATCACATCGTCTCCTTGGGTGTCGGCGTGGAAGACTTTGTGCTCGTCTGTTTCGACAAGTCTGCTTTCGCCATAGTAGCCATGCTGGCCATCCTGAAGGCGGGAGGGGTAGCCGTGCCCCTAGATCCAACGCATCCGGATACCGCGTTGCGATTTCGTGCCGAGGACACAGACGCCTCTTCCGCTCTCGTGTCTCCTTCTGTGGTGCACAGGATCAGTACCATGGTCAAGACAACAGTAGCTGTAGACGCCCAGCTTCTCCAGACCATCTCCATGACACAGGATGGCGTTTCTCTTCCCAAAGTCACACCCAACAACGCCTGTTTCGTCATCTACACCTCTGGGAGTAGCGGAACGCCCAAGGGAGTGGTGCTCGAGCATAGGGGGATTGCCACCAATGCCGAGTACTCGGGGCCCAAGCTAGGCTATGAGCAAGACTCAAGGGTGCTGCAGTTTGCCTCTCACACCTTTGACAATAGTCTCGCCGAGATATTCACCACACTCACCCGTGGAGGCTGCGTATGCGTACCTTCGGACCACGAGAGGTTGAACGATTTGGCCGGTGCCATTAACCGCTACGAGGTTACATTGGCCGATATAACCCCTACCGTCGCTTGCTTTCTCCATCCGACTGAGGTCCCAACCTTGAAGACTTTGGCTCTGGGCGGTGAAGCTGTAACTACCAAGTGCGTTGACATCTGGCGCGACTTTGTATCTCTGCAATGTTGCTACGGACCCTCCGAATGCTCCGTCAACGCAACTTACAGTGGCGATATTGCCAAGCCAGGCAGAGCCACAAACATCGGCCGCGCCATCGGCAGTGTCGCTTGGGTTGTCGATGCCAGCGACCACAACTCTCTGGTTCCCATAGGTTGCGTAGGTGAGCTTCTCATAGACGGCCCCATCGTCTCTCGAGGCTACCTGAACCTGCCCGAGAGGATGGCACAATCCTTTATCTCTCCACCTGCCTTTGTGGAAGGGATACTTCAAGGCGTCAACATGGAGCGTAAGCTCTACAAGACCGGGGACCTGGTATGCTGCAACTCTGACGGTACTCTTACGTACTTGGGGCGAAAGGATACTCAAGTCAAGCTCAACGGCCAGCGCATCGAACTTGGAGAGATTGAGCATCACATTGAAAAGAACCTCCCTGAGAGCTGGCTGTCTGCTGTGGAGCTCATTGTGTCTGAGGGCCGAAAATCTCTGGCCTGTTTTGTTTGTGCCGATGCAGATACCTCCTTCCCCGACAGCAGCGACGACGGCATCATACTAGACTTAGACGATGCTTTTAGGACTCGCGCCAAAGCCTTAGAGAGTCATTTGTCAATGGTCGTCCCCGCTTACATGATCCCATCCATGTGGCTACCCATCCTCAAGATGCCACTCACTCCGTCTGGGAAGTTGGACCGACGCAGTCTCCGACTACTAGCACAGGCGGTGCCGATGTCGCTGATGAGCACCTACAAGCTCGCCTCCAAGTCTGGTAGGAACCCATCGAGCGAAGCAGAGAAACAACTGGCCAGTATGTGGGCTCATGTGCTGAATATCGACCTGGCGTCCATCGGAGTCGAAGATCATTTCTTTAGACTTGGAGGCGACTCGATCAACGCAATGAGACTTGTGACACTTGCACGGCAGTCTGACATCAACTTGACCGTGGCTAGCATCTTCCAGAAGGCAACCTTGCTGGATATGGCCAACTCAGCATTCCCCATGTCCAAGGCTACAGTCACGGCCGTCCAGCCGTTCTCGTTGTTACCCAATGTAGCCTCGATGGATGTGTTACAGCGAGAGGTTGCAGCCTTTGCTCGCATCAATGTCGATGCCATTCGGGACATTTACCCTTGCACTGCAACACAAGAGGGTCTTATGGCGCTTTCGACCAGAGAGCCTGGGGCATATGTTGCTCAACTCATCTATCGCCTCCCGGGCGACGTAGATATCGCCAGGTTCAAGAGGGCCTGTCATCTCGTTGTCCAAGCTGAGCCTACCCTACGAACAAGGATCGTACATACCGATGATGCCGGGTCTGTGCAGGTCGTGTTGTCCGAGGATACTCCCCAATGGTCTACGGTTTCCAGCTTGTCCGATGCAGAACAGTCTCGGTGCCAGATTCCGCTCCACAACGGTGGGAGATTGACTGGCTACAACCTCGTTGACGATGGCCCCACCGGGGTCTTCTTTGTCTGGACTATTCACCATGCGCTCTACGACGGTTGGTGTCTACCTCTCATCCTGGACAAGATCAAGCGATGCTACCAAGAGGTGCCTCCGAGCCCAGCACAGCTCAGCGGCCCCTCATACTCCAACTTCATCCGGTATCTTGCAGGAGTTGACTTGGATCAAGCAAGCGAGTTCTGGAAGTCCCATCTATCCAACGTCTCAGCCCAGCACTTCCCACGTCTGCCCAACCCTGATTACCAGGCAAGTGCTAGCAGTCTGATGATTCACAAGGCAGACCTGATCCGCCAGTCTGGATCAGAGATTACCACTGCCACGAGAATCCGCGCAGCTTGGGCCTTGACAGTTTCCATCTACTCGGCATCAGACGATGTTGTCTTCTGGGAAACCGTCACAGGCCGTGATGCCCCTGTCCCCGGGATTGAGGAAATAGTGGGAGTGACGTTAGCGACTGTACCAATGCGGATGGTGCTGGAGCCATCGACAACAATTGCTGGGCTTCTTGGCTACGTCCAAGCTCAGTCGGCAGCAATGAGAACGCACCAACATACCGGTATTCAGCACATCAGACGCATCAATGCCGACACGGCTCTTGCTTGTGGCGCGCAGAACCTCTTGGCCATCAATCACGGGTCACGAGAGTCAACCGATTCATTCTGGGACGAGCAGACCAACGAGATGGCTGGCACCAACTTCTACTCATACCCCCTCATGCTTTCGTGCCATATTGGAGACGGCGAGCTTGAGACAGTTGTCCATTATGACGCAGACGTCATCTCAGCATCGCAGATGCAGCGTGTCATGGACCTGTTCGCCATGATGTTGCAATCGGTCTCATCTTCTGAACTTATGGACGAAAGGGTGGAAGACCTGTCCATTTTGACTCCGAATGACCTTCAGACACTGCAAGATATGAATCATGCAACAACAACACCTGTGGACCAATTCATACACCATGTCATTCAGGCTCAGGGCATTACTCAAGCGCAAGACAAGCTGGCCATCCATGCATGGGACCAAAGCCTCACATATGCGGAACTGGACGCTCAATCAAGCCGTCTTGCGTGTGTCCTAGTTGAGAACGGCGTCAGTGTGGACTCCATTGTTCCATTCTGCATGGAAAAATCATCTCTTGTTGTTGTCTCCATCTTGGCCATCCTTAAATCAAACGCTGCATTCGTCCCGCTGGACCCCGCACATCCTGATGCCCGAATCAACGGCATTCTTGCCGATGTTGACGCTACGGTTGTCCTCTGCTCCCCCCAGTACGCTGAGCGCCTGGAGAATCTCGGAACGAAGGCAGTCCGGATCTCACAGGACTTTGTTCACAGCATCCCACCGCACCAACAACCGACTGTTTCCATGTCTACCAATAGCCCTGCCTACGTTATCTATACTTCAGGAAGTACCGGGAAACCGAAGGGAACGATTGTTGGCCACTCGGCCTTTTGTACTGGTGCAACTGCGCATGGTCTTGCCATGGGCATGGACGAGTCATCTCGAGTCTTGCAATTTGCTTCATATACTTTCGACGCCAGCATTATGGAGATGTTGACGACTCTTATCCATGGCGGCACGGTCTGTGTGCCTAGTGACGAGGAACGCATGGGTGATATTGCAGGCGCCATCAGCCGCATGCGCGTCAACTGGGCTTTATTGACGCCCTCAGTCGCCCAGTTGATTCAACCGTCCCTCGTACCTGAGCTCAAAACCCTTGTGCTTGGCGGAGAGGCGATGTCGTCTGCTCACATCTCTTCCTGGGCATCATCTGTCCAGTTGATGAACGCCTACGGCCCTTCGGAGAGTTCCGTGGTGGCGGCCGTTAACCCGGCCGTCACGCTTGAATCTGGCCCTTCCAATATCGGGCGTGCGGTGGGAGGTCTTTGCTGGGTCGTCGATGCGACCAACCACGACAGACTGGTCCCCATCGGCGTAGCTGGCGAGCTCGTGGTGGAGGGCCCAATCCTTGCCCAGGGCTACCTCAAGAACCCCGAAAAGACTGCGGAATCCTTCATCACCAACCCAAAGTGGTGCAACAAGTTCCCCAGTGCATCCGCAGGCCCTGAGCGCAGGTTGTACAAGACTGGAGATCTCGTCAAACTCGCCGAAGATGGATCCATTCTCTTCCAGGGCCGTAAGGACAACCAAGTCAAGGTCAACGGTCAGAGGCTGGAGTTGTCTGAAGTTGAGCACCATCTCAGCGCAGACCCTGCCATCCAGTATGGCCTGGCTGCTGTTCCATCGTCTGGCCCTTTCAAGGGGCGTCTAGTCGCCATCCTGTCTTTGCAATCTTTTGCTGCTATCAAACAAGAGATGGTGGGAGATGAAGAGATGCAGATCGTCGGACAGTTTGCCTCCCCGCAGTTGACAGGCATCCGCGAGCGTCTATCAAGACACCTGGCAGCTTGGATGATTCCATCCTCGTGGATCATCGTGAACCGCATCTGTCTCCTTCCCTCCGGCAAGCTTGATCGTCGGCGTGCCGTGGACTGGGCCGAGAAGATGACTGCGGAGCAACACCAGCTGGTTCTCAACGCGCAGGAAAAGGCATCTGCTTTAGGCAGAGAAGCATCAGAGGTTGAGGTAAAGCTTAGGGCTGCCTGGGCTAAGGTTCTTAACCTCGAGATGAACATGGTGCCGTTCAAGCAGTCTTTCCTCCATCTGGGAGGCGACTCCATCTCCGCCATGCAGTTGATGGCCGTCTGTCGGTCTTTGAACATTGGTGTTTCGGTCGGACAAATCATGCAGAGCAAGTCCATCGTCGAACTTGCATCTCATGTCACTGCCGTTGAGGATGTTGTGCATGTTCAGGAGCGGGAGAATGAGTCGTTTGACTTGTCGCCCATTCAGAAAGTGTACTTTGAGTGCATGGGTACTGAGTCTACTCATTTCAACCAGAGCATGCTTTTGAGAACCGGACGAACAATCACTTCTCAAGAGCTATCGACAGCTTTGGAAACCATCGTCAAGACACACAGCATGCTTCGTGCTCGCTTCTCACAAGTCAATGGCACCTGGTCTCAACGCATAACTGACAACGTCGCTGCCTCGTACACCCTCCGATCACATGCGAACGTTGACCAAGGCCGCCTCTCTTCATTGATCGAAGAGAGCCAGAAATGTCTGGACATTGTTCAGGGTCCTCTCTTTGCCGCGGACATTTTTGAGATGGAGGGAACCGACAATCAAGCCGTTTCATTTGTCGCTCATCACCTCGTTGTCGACGTCGTTTCGTGGAATATCATTCTTCAAGATCTGGAGGGACTCTTGTCATCAGCCGCCTACGATCCTGTCAAGCCGTTTTCTTTCCAGACTTGGAGCCATCTACAACTCGAACAAGCTCAAGGAACGACGAATGTGTTTCATGATATTCCGACTCCTCAACAAGACCTCTCGTACTGGGGAATGCAAGGCGTACCGAACCTTCACGGCGACTCAAGCACCGAAACCATGGAGATTGCCGTCGATGACTCGATTCAGCTCTCGGGCCCTTGCCATGATGCCCTCCAAACCGATGTTGTCGATATCTTATTGGCCTCGCTGTTGGCGTCTTTCCGTCAAACCTTCCCAGACCGCCCTTCAGTGCCATCAATATTCAATGAGGGTCATGGCAGAGAGCCTTTGGATGACAAGCTGGACCTATCACGCACCATTGGATGGTTTACCACTCTTTGCCCCGTCTGCCTCCCCCAGTCCTTGCCATCTGAGCCAGATTTTCTCGATATTGTGCGCTGGGTAAGGGACTTCAGGCGAAAGCTCCCCGGCAAGGGCCGTCCTTACTTTGCTCAGAGCATGTTGTCTCCGGAAAGCCAGACGCATACCCGGGAGTGGCCTGTGGAGGTGGCCTTCAACTTTCTTGGCCAGACAAAGCAAGCTGGATATGAAGAGTCGGTGTTCAGACAGCTTGACGGGGGCATGCTGGACTCTGTGAGTTCCGAAACGGACATTGGGGCCCATGTTCCACGCCTCGCCCTCATTGAGATCTCAGCCTCCTTCTCAAGCAGTAGATTGAACTTCAGCTTCTCTGTCAATCGCCACATGAATCACCAATCACGTATCCGAAACTGGATTGGGGCTTGCAAGGACTACATCCACGAGGCTGTTCAACAGCTTCTCCAGGTCAGACATGAACAACCAACTGCAGATCTGTCCCTGCTTCCCTTGGCTTTTGGCGGCGACTCCCGAATCGACAGAAGGCTCAAGGAACTGGACATTGCCCATCTTGGCGACGTCGAAGCCGCATACCCATGCTCTCCAGCTCAGCAGGGCATTCTCTTCGCACAGATAAGAGACCCCGAGTACTATTCGTACTCGGTCACGTTTTCGGTGAATTGTGCCCAACCAGGCCATGGAGTAGACGTGCAACGCCTAGCAGATGCATGGGGACATGTGGTGCAACGGCATTCCACTCTTCGAACCGTCTTTGTGGACAACTTGCTACAAGAGGGTGCGATGGACCAGATTGTTCTCAGAAAGCATCTTCCCAATATGTCCGTCTTCGAATCCCCCGTCAATGAGCAAGCTAAAAACCTTGACCGACGCTCACGACTGGGTCTTCCCACCAACCAACCACCTCACCGTCTCAACATTTCCAAGACTACTGAAGGAACCGTATTCTGCGTCCTGGAGATGAGCCATGCTATCGCCGATGGAACTTCGATGCCGATTCTGTTCCGTGACCTGGCTTTGGCCTACGAGGGTGCCTTGACCGCAACAACTCTTTCTGTCTACGGCGACTACGTTGCTCACTTGCAGCGAAGCCTAAGCTCTCGCAATGTCGATTACTGGAAGGACTACCTGACTGGATTCGATCCTTGTCACTTACCCTCGCTGACTGGTGGAGCCGCAGAGCCCAAGGTTCTGCGAGCGCTCGACTGGGCCATCTCCAATGCGGCAGACCTTCAGGCATTCTGCACCGACAGAGGTGTCACGCTATCCAACATACTCCAGCTGGCCTGGGCACTGGTGCTTCAGGCATACACGGGCCTTGATGACGTAGGGTATGGGTGCTTGGTTGCTGGGCGGGACATCCCCGTCCGCGACATTGACGAGGCAATCGGCGTCTTCATCAACATGGTCGTGTGCAGAGTGCGTCTTGACCCGGCTACCAGCCTCGGCGATGTCCTCAAGACTGTCCAGGAAGACTCTGCGGCAGCGATGAACAATGGGCATGTTTCGCTTGCTGACTTACAGCACGCCCTGGGCATATCCAATGAAGCTCTCTTCAACACTGCCTACTCGTTCCAGAGAAGGTCCGTCTCCAAGTCAATGGCGACAGGACCTATCTCGTTCGACATCGGTGACGCCCAAGATCCTAGCGAGTACGACATGACCGTCAACGTCGAAGTTTGGGATTCAAATGTTGAGTTGCAGCTGTGTTACTGGACAGACAAGATTTCTGATTCACATGCCAAGAACATTGCCTCTACATTTGACCAGATTCTGACTTCAATCATGACGTGCGACTTGGAGGTGCCAATAGGACAACTCAATATGCTCAGCAACTACTGCTCGCAGCAGCTGGCGTTGTGGAACAATGACGAGCCTGAGGCCCTCGACAAGTGCGTACACCACCTCTTCGAGCACAACGCCCAACAACGACCTAGCGATACACCGGCTATCCAGGCATGGGATGCAAGCTTTACCTACCTCGAACTTGACGCGGCGGCTACAAAGCTCGCCCAGCACTTGGTATCTCTTGGTGTCGGGCCTGAGAGATACGTTCCCCTTTGCTTCGAAAAGTCAGCATGGACAGTCGTGGCCATAATGGCAGTTCTCAAGGCCGGCGGCGCTTTTTGTAGCCTTGATCCTACACACCCACCTGAACGTGTCAACTTCCTCGTCCACAACGTTGATGCTGAGCTGATTCTCTGCTCACCTTCCTTGACACACAAGTTTGAGGGTCTGGATATCCCGACTTTTGCCGTCGGCCTAGAGACGGTATCGCTGCTACCTGATGTGCCGGTTGGCTCGCTTCAAATCCAGGTCTCACCCAGCAACCCGGCCTACATCATCTTCACCTCCGGGACCATGGGTCTTCCAAAGGCTACAATCATCGAGCATGGGGCCTTTACCACTGGAGCTACGGAACACGCTAAGGCTATCAAGATGACCTCGACCTCTCGTGTCCTACAGTTCGCGTCACACACCTTTGATGCCAGTGTCATGGAGATGCTATCCACATTGATAGTGGGCGGTTGCATCTGTATTCCCAGCGATCAGGAGCGCATGAACGACCTGGCCGCTGTCATCACCAAGTTGAACGTTAACTGGACCCTACTTACACCATCTGTGGCAAGTGTGCTCCGGCCGGACAGCGTGCCCACCCTCAAGGTCCTCGTTACGGGCGGAGAAGCGATGTCGATGGACCACATCACCAAGTGGGCAAGCCACGCGGCTCTTGTCAACGCCTATGGCCCTTCCGAAACATCCGTCATTTGTTCAACAAGCACCAAAGTGGACCATGACGGCAACGTCTTGGATTGGGAACCTGCCACGATCGGGCATGCTGTTGGGTGTCGCTGCTGGGTCGTCGATCCGCGCAATCACAACCGTCTCATGGCCATCGGTGGCATCGGAGAGCTTGTGATTGAAGGGCCCATTGTGGCAAGAGGCTATCTGGGCAACGAAGCCAAGACGAGAGAAGCATTCATCCAGCATCCTCCATGGCGGACAGGCATCAAGCTCGCTGGCGACCGAACATATGGCATGTACAAGACTGGTGATCTGGTCGCGTACAACTTGGATGGCTCTTTGAGCTATAGATCCCGCAAAGACACTCAGATCAAGCTCAACGGACAACGTATCGAGCTCGGCGAGATCGAACATCATGTCAAGGCCAACTTGCCAGCTAATGTTCAGTCAGCCGTGGACTTGGTGGTTCCCCAGAGCCAGACATCAACAAAGGCATTGGCCGTGTTCTTCACAAGCGGCGACGAAGATGTCGAGGATGCAGCGTCTCGAGAGACGGAAGCAATTCTCCTGCCCATGTCAAGTGCTTGCGCCAAACTTGGCCAGTCGCTCAAGACGGCACTTAGGAATGCTCTACCATCACACATGGTGCCAACCGCGTATATCCCGGTGGTCAAGATGCCCTGGACCTTGGCCGGCAAGCTAGACCGCAGCAAGCTCAAGGCCATTGTTCAGTCTATACCGCCTATGCAGATGGCCCCCTACAAGCTCGCCGGGGTCAGACAAGAGCGAGCCCCTGTCACATCGATGCAGCGCAAACTGCAGAAAGTCTGGGGCAAGATTTTGAGCATTGATTCCGGCAAAATCAGCAGAGACGACAACTTCTTCAGACTCGGCGGTGATTCCGTTGGCGCCATGAAGCTTGTCGCCGCCGCCAGGATGGAGGATGTTGTACTCACAGTCATGAACATCTTCAAGAATCCCGTCTTGTCGCACATGGCAACATCATGTAAGCGCGCCAATGACGCCCCCATCACTTCTGTGAAGCGTCTGTCGTTACTTCGAGACGTTGCGTCTCCCTCTCTTCTTCTCGCCGAGCTCTCAGAACGCTGTGGCATCCAGAGGACTCAGATCCAGGATGCGTATCCGTGCAGCTCCCTTCAAGAGGGACTTGTAGCTTCATCTATTCAACAGCCGGGTGCATACGTCGCCAACAATGTCTTTGAGCTGCCTCCTAGTATTGACGTTGACCGTCTGAAGCTCGCATGGCAAAAGACTGTTGACCAAGTCGACATTCTGAGATCGCGAATCGTCAACACCAAATCCCTCAAGTCCTACCAAGTCGTCTTGGAGCCTCATGAGATCGAGTGGGACCACTACAGCAGCCTTGAATCTGCCATTCACAAGGCCCAATCAGTTCCAGAACACAATGGCGGTGCCCTTGCCCGGTATGCAACTGTCAGCTCGGCTGATTCTGGCACCCAATATTTTGTGTGGACCGTCCATCATGCGTTATACGATGCTTGGAGTATGCCTTCTTTACTCAAGTTGGTTTCGCAATACTACTACGGAGATGGTGCTGAAAGGCTCGGTCCGACTGTTCCCTTTGCCAACTTTGTCAAGTACTTGGCCGACATCAATGTACAAGCCTCAGATGACTTCTGGAAGGCTAGGCTTCAAGGCGCTTCTTCTGCATCTCATTTCCCAACCATGTCCTCTGCGACAAGCGCTGAGTCATCTCATGCATCACTGGAGCATACGATTCAGTACAGGAGAGAGGGTCTCGGCATGGACATAACGATTCCAACACTCGTCCGAGCAGCATGGGCTCTTGTCCTGGGGTCTCAAACCGGCTCAGATGACGTCGTCTTTGGCGAGACCTTGTCGGGACGTGATGTTGCTCTTGACCATGTGGAAGATATCATGGGACCAACCTTGACCACCGTGCCTTCAAGGGTTCAGATCGACCGGGCTGCTTCTGTTGGCCACTTTTTGACCACGCTCCATGAGCAGGCAATCGAGGTGATCCCTCATCAGCATGCTGGCCTCCAACGCATCAAGCGCCTTGGGGGCACCATGGCAGTTGCCTGCGACTTCAGGAATTTGCTGGTCATCCAATCGACCGACGAAACAACAAGCCAGCAGGACTTGTTGCAGCCATTAGAAGGCGAGATGGAGCAGGCAGACTTCTTCACGTACCCACTGGTCGTCGAATGTTCTATCGAGGCTCACAACCTTGTCTTGGTTATTCACCATGACGAGACTGTTGTAACAAGCTGGCAAGCAGAGCGCATCGCCCTTCAATTTGAAACTCTGGTTGAGCAACTCATCCGTCTATCGCGAGAGCCCACCCGCAAGATCATGGAACTTCGACTCTACAGCCAAGAGGATGTTTTGATGATCAAGGATTGGAACCACCAAACTTTTGAGCCTGTCCAAGAAACCATTCCCAGCTTGTTCTGGCAGTCAGCCATGATGCAACCCGATGCTACCATCATCCGCGCTTGGGACGGCCATCTCAGCTATCATGCTATCTCACAGTACGCCGTGCGTCTTGCCAAGGTACTCGTACAGAAGGGAGTACGAGCTGAAACACTGGTTCCATGCTGTATGGACAAGTCTCTCTGGACGACGGTCGCCATGCTTGCTGTGATACTGGCTGGTGGCGCTATCGTTGGACTGGATCCTGCGCATCCCCCGGCTCGGCACGCGGAAATCACTCACGACTGCGCGGCCCATCTTGTTCTGTGCTCACCGCAGTATCAAGACCGTTTCAATGGCCTCGTCGAGTCTGTCATTCTGGTCAACCCCGACTTGTTCACTGCCGAGCTGTCGTCCCCACAAGAGCTCCCAACCGTTACAAGTCGAGATGCCGCATTCGTCATTTACACGTCAGGCAGTACAGGAAAACCAAAGGGTATTGTGATTGACCATGGCTCGTTTTGTACGAGCTCCAAGGCCTTCATGCAACGCATGAATCTTACCCCGACGTCGAGTGTCTTCCACTTTACGTCTTATGCGTTCGATATTGCAATGGGAGAGACGTTTGGTGCCCTGACTAGCGGCGCTTGCCTCTGCATTCCCAGCGAGGAGATGAGGTTGACGGACCTTCCGGGTGCCATGAACACCCTTGGCGCCACTTGGGCCTTCTTGACGCCCTCGATCGCCAACATTCAGGATCCCTCCAAGTTCAAGACACTCCAAACACTTGTCTGTGGTGGCGAGGCGATGACCCCTGAGACCATTAGCACCTGGGCAGACAAAGTCGAGCTGATGAACGGCTACGGTCCAGCCGAGTGTACGATTTTTGCTGTTTCCAATGCCGACGTGTCCGTCACCAGGGACCACACACACATCGGCCGCGCAATGTCCGGCGGCAGCACGTGGATTGTCGACCCCAGAGACCACAACTGTCTTGTCCCGGTGGGTTGTGTGGGTGAACTGCTCATCAGCGGTCCTATCGTGTCGCGTGGTTACCTGAACGACAGTACGAGGACAGCTGAGTCGTTTGTCGAGAACCCTGCCTGGATGCACAGCATCATCGGCGAGGTAAATCATCAACAATCGCTGCGTCTATACAAGACGGGTGACCTGGTCAAATATTGTCCTGATGGAACATTGGTTTACATGGGACGGAAGGATCACCAGGTCAAACTCAATGGCCAGCGCATGGAGCTCGGTGAGATCGAAGCTCGTCTCGAGTCTGATCCGCGAATCCGCCATGCTCTCGTCTCTCTGCCCAAGTCCGGGGTACTCAAGGGCCGTCTGGTGGCCATCGTTTCTCTCGAGCAACTTGTATCTGACAGGTCATGCCTTGAATCATCAGAACTTGTTCCTGTGTCTGCTTCCACGATGGAACACGCTCGAGCACAGATCTCCGTCTTTCAAAACAATCTATCCGACAACCTCCCACCTTACATGATACCATCAGCTTGGTTTGTGGTTGAAGCTATTCCCCTCTTGCTGTCTGGCAAGCTCGATAGGGCCAGTGCCCAGGCATGGCTCGTCAACATGGATTCGGAGACATGTAACATGGCGTTCGGCTCAGAATCCAGTGAAAATGTCGTGGACTCCGAGATGACACATGTTGGGCGGCAACTTAGACGCATCTGGGCGTCAGTCCTCAACATTCCTGACGAGACGCTGCCGATGAACCGCTCCCTTATCAGCCTCGGTGGAGACTCCATTATGGCGATTCAGATCATGACTCGCTGCCGCGACCAATCCTTCAGATTGTCCATGCAGCAGATCATGAAGGCTAAGTCCATCACTCAGCTGGCCACGCTCATCCAGATCGATGGCCAACAAACACGGAACGACGCCCCTGAACATGAAGACGAACCCGGTCATGCATTTGAGTTGTCGCCAATCCAGCAGTTCTTCTTCAACAACAGTTCAAACAAGGACCTCGGAGACCGCTTCAACCAAAGCCAACTGTTGTCGATCAGAGACCTCGTCGATGTATCCAGATTCAAGCAGGCTGTTGACGCGCTCGTGCACCGACACCCAATGCTTCGCGCGCGCTTCAAGAAGTCTCCTGATGGACTATGGACACAGCACATTGAGTCGGATATTGCAAATTCCTACAGCTTCCGCCCCCACAGGTCTATCGAGAGGTCTGACATGATTTCATCCATCGTCACGAGCCAAAATGATATCCACATTTCTGGCCCTGTCTTCATCATCGACCTCTATGAACAGCCTGATGGCTCTCAAGTGGCATCGCTCGTGGCGCATCATCTGGTCGTCGACATCGTTTCTTGGATCAATATCATCCAAGACCTTGAGACATTCCTCTCAGCTGCCTCTTCCAATCTCCCCAAGCCCCTGACGTTCCAGAAATGGCATGCAGCGCAGGTTTCACATGCTGAATCTCTCGAGAGACATGGAGATAACTTGCTGCCATTCTCTGTGCAACCTGCTGACTTGGACTTCTGGGGCATGTCAAGCACCACCAACACCTATGGAGACATTATCCAGAAATCGTTTGTCCTGTCAGATGCCGATATCATATCCTTGGTACTAAGAGACTCGCACACGGCACTCAAGACAGAGCCTCTTGATCTGTTCATCTCGGCTCTGCTCAAATCATTCGGACAAACCTTTGAAGAGCGAGAGCTTCCGACCCTGTTCAACGAAGGCCATGGCCGTGAGCCTTGGGACGATACCATCGACCTTTCCCAAACTGTTGGATGGTTCACCTCACTCTGTCCTGTCCACGTGTCTCGACACAACGTCGATCATGAGGATATCATTGACTTTGTTCGCAAGATCAAAGACGTACGTCGCAGCATCCCAAGCAACGGTCGTCCGTACTTTGCCCACTGCTACCTGACCGAGTCAGGGAAGCCCCATCGCAGCAACCATGAGCCCATGGAGGTTTTGCTAAACTTCCTTGGCCGTACTCAACAAACAAGCCAGGGAAATTCTCTCTTTGGCTCGGCCGATTTATCCATGACCGAGGAAGAATCAGCGGCCACTTCCGACGTTGCACCCGAGACGCACCGTACAGCTTTGTTCGAGGTTTCCATATCAATTATTGACCAAGGCGTCAGCTTCACCTTCATGTACAACCAACGCATGCTCCACCGAGATCGCATCGAGAAGTGGATTTCCAACTGTGAGGAGATACTCATCGACACCGCAAAGAGGCTCAGCGAGGCCACGCCTACTCCCACGCTGAGCGACTTCCCTCTCATGCCCATCGGCTACACGGAGCTGAAGGAGCTCGTGACCAGGTCTCTGCCTGCTGCTCAGGTCCGCTTCGATGAGGTAGAGGACATGTATCCCTGCTCGCCCATGCAGACAGGCATACTGCTCAGTCAGCTCCTGGATCCATCGCACTATCTGTTCCATACTGTCCTTGAAGTAACCTGTCCCAGCGGTTCGACGATTGACACCGCCAAGTTGTCTCAAGCTTGTCACCAAGTTATTGACCGTCACACTGCGCTCCGAACGGTCTTTGTGGACAGTGCCTATCGTGGTGGCTTCTTCGATCAGGTCGTCCTGAAGGCTCCTGGATCCCGAATTTCCATCATCCAGTGTCGTGAAATCGACGTCATGGCAAGATTGAACACCAGATCTCTTGAGAAGACCAACAAAAGGCACAATGGTCCGGTGCTTCCTTATCAAATCACCATCTGCCAGACACCCCAGGGCAAAGTGTTCATCAAAGTCGAAATGAACCACGCTGTCTCAGACGGTTTTTCGACGTCGGCCATGCTGCACGATATATCGAAAGCATACAACAACTGCCTGCCTTCGACCAAGGCCCCTTCCTACAAGGAATACGTCAAGTACATCTCCAACCAGTCTGCTGAGCTGAGTCTCAAGTTCTGGAGCAGCTACCTCTCCGGAGCGCAATTCACCGGATTTCCAACAATAAATCCCGACATCACAGCTGTGCGCAGGTTGGGCTCTGTCGAAGTCGAGTTTGATCGATTTTCCGAGCTGCACTCCCTTGGCCGCGAAACTGGAGTGACGCTGTCAAACATGATGATAGCTGCATGGGCTCTGGTACTTCGGGCCTACACCAAGTGTGAGGACGTCTGCTTGGGATATCTGGCATCTGGACGTGATGCCCCTATTGATGGCATTGACGACATCGTTGGTCCTCTTATCAATATGCTGGTGTTCCGCTTTCAGTTTGCTCCGGGCATGCTGCTCAAGAGATTGTTCCTCCAAGCTCAAGAAGATTACATGGCCAGTCTACCTTACCAGCATTTCTCGCTGGCCCGCCTAAGCCATGCTTTGGGACAAGCGAAACGAGGCTTTTTCAACACCGCCATATCCATCCAAAACGCCGGTTCACCGAGTGGCTCAGATGTCAATGCGCTCACATACGAGCCAGTCGAGGCCTTTGATCCAAGCGAATTTGCCGTCACGCTCAATGCCAACACCACTCGCGGCGATGAAGGCATTGTCTTCCGCTACTGGACGGATGTTCTCTCGGATTCTCAAGCCGAGGACCTCGCCCTCACAACGTCTGCGTTGCTGAGTGATTTCATCGATCACTATGAGAAGGATCTATCCCATTTGCGGCTCTTCAGGGGGCCACGGCAGCTACCTACCAGTGGGCACATGCACACACATGAGGTTGACCACTGGGCATTTCAACATGACGATTCCAAATGCGAAGCCACGATCCACAATTCGACAAGCAGTGAATCTTCGACAGATCTCAGTGCAGAAGTTTTCTCGTCGCCCAACCCATCTCATCCCTCTACTCGTGACCGGGACAATGTTCACCACAAGCTGTTGGCATTGTGGAGGGACACTTTGGGTCTGGGAAGTACTGACGTCTCATACGATGACAGTTTTTTCGAACTCGGCGGTGATTCCATCATCGCCATGTCAATGGTGGGCAATGCTAGAGAGCTGGAAATACCGCTCACTGTGGCCGACATCTTCAACAACCCCAACTTTGGGTCGATGCTCAACTGTCTCCTGGATCGATGCTACAAGGATTACGACACGGCGTCAAGCAATGACAAGTCGTACCTCTCAGACTCCAAGAACGAGGGAGCAACCAATGCTGAACAACCATACCAACCCTTCTCCATGCTTGGCCTAGAGGACGCTGAGCAATTCGTCCGACACCACGTCTGCACTGTTGCAGGCGTGTCCCGAGCCAGCATCGTAGACGTCCTCCCAACAACCGATTTCCAGACCCAGGCCATCGCGGGTAGTCTACTGGACTCGCGATGGATGCTCAATTACTTCCACTTGGATTCTTCGGGGCCACTTGACATTGGCCTACTGAGAGAAAGTATCACAAACGTCGTTACCTGTTACGACGTGTTGCGCACCGTCTTCGTCTCCTACGAGAAGAGATACTTGCAGGTTGTCCTTCGTCACATTCAACCCCAGCTGAGTGTCCACAACGTCGACGATATCGAGCAATTCACATCGGAACTTGAATCCAGCCATCGGCAAGAAGTTCCGCGCCCTGAACAGTCCGCCCTACGGTTCGTCGTAGCGCGACTCAAATCGTCGGTACGACACCGAATTTTCATCAGGATATCTCATGCGCAGTATGACGGCGTCTGCTTCCCAGCCATTCTTGAGGCATTGAAGGCTTGCTATGAGGGAGAACCTATTTTTCCCACGCCTTCGTATACAACCTACATCCGCGGGGCATTAGGCAAGATCAATCCGGGCCACTACGCGTACTGGAATGCTCTACTCAAGAATTCCACTCCGACGCATGTTATCCCACGACAAGCCTCTTTGCTGCGCACTTCCCCTACGCAAGTTTTGAAAAGGGTCGTTTCCACACCCTCGCTCGCGGCTTTCAACATCACCACTGCTACTGTCGTCAAGGCCGCCTGGTCAACTGTATTGGCCAAGGTCACGGGCAAGACCGACGTTGTCTTTGGCCACCTCATCAGCGGACGCAATACAAGCAGTGTGCCCGGTATTGAAGCTATCGTTGGCCCTTGCTTGAATGTGGTCCCTGTACGCGTTTGCCACCAACCTTCTTGGACCGTACTACATCTTCTTCAACACGTCCAGAAACAGCAGGTGGACAACATGCCGTATGAGTCACTCGGCTTCAGGGAGGTCATTGGCAACTGCACCGACTGGGATGATGACGGAGCAAACGGTTTTTCTACCGTTGTGCAACACCAAAGCATGCCTCAGACGGGTGCTCTGGAAATCGGGGGGAACACGTACCAAGTTGGAGCAATGGCCTCACAAGAAGATGCGGCTGATTTCAGCGTCGTTACTACGCCGCAAGACACGAACAGCACAGAGGTCTGCTTGCTTTATTCTTGTGACGGAGCTGTAGACGTGGCCTTGGCAGAGGAGATGTTTGACTCTCTCTGTAGCAGTATCACAGGCTTTTCCGAGAACCTGGACACCTTTGTTGGACTTTCTTGATACGGGTTCTTATCAAAAGGAGGATCTCTTTTTTTCTCTGTTGTCTTTTTTTTTTCTTAGTAACTTGGACTTTTTGTAACTAGGGCTTGGCATTGGTAATGGTGCAACCTATCGAGACCTCTTTTTATTTTATATTTTCCCTATCTTGTCTGTCATCCCGGTCGTAGTCCCTGGTTGTGGTATTTTTATTCCCACCCAACGATTATGGAAACTGCTCATCGGAGGGCTGGTTTACGCGCGAGAATATAGATCAACATATTCTTATGATAATTTTTCAAGTTTTGCTTTGAACAGTCACTTCCCCTCTGGCTTAGGGGCTCTGGACGACACACGGAACGTATCTCATCTCACCATGACTTGTTGGTAAGAAGGCCCAAAATCGCTGCCGGCTCTTTTATTTGCCGCAATGGCCCTCGGCCACCAATTCCTCAATCGAGTACATTCTGATCATATTGCATGTGAATAATCTTGAGCCTATTCTCATGCTACTATTCTCAAAAGTAGATTGCCTAGTCTTGGCCGTAGCCCTCGCCAAGGATGTGGCCAGCACTTCTTTCAGTATGGCAGCACCCCTCTCTAGTTCCTCGCCTGTCATTGTCGTGGCAAGAGTAATACGGATGGTCTCACTCCCAGGCGTAGCGTTTACAAAGAGACATTTGAACATGCAGAGGGCCGCCACATGCTGCCCGAGGCCATCGTAGGAAAACATGTTGGAGTCTGCGCCGATGCTGAATACATAATCGATCCCAGGAAGCCCAGCCCCCCGGAGATGGCTCGTCACTTTTCGCTAATTTGTGCCGCACACGCCAAGACGTTATCATTGTCCACAACTTCACGAACTATACCTTTGCTCAGAGTGATCCATCAATCCAATGCCAGGTCGTGATAGGAGGATCCTCCACCTAGAATCTCGGGCTTGTCGCTGCGGATCATTTGGCAAACGAGACCTTGCTTGCAAGTAATTTTACAGGCAATGTCCGCCGAATCGGTTACCAAAGTTGCAGTGATGATCTTGTCATAGCCAAGTCGCTTGAACATTATTTTGCCAAAGGGGCGCTTTATGGGCCTCGATTTTAGTACTCTTTCACGCTGAACAAACCAGTCTAGCCTCTGCAGTACTCGCTATGGGCAGAGAGGCAAAGTTTCAGTTCAAGTAGAGGAGAAATACAGAGCCAAGAGTCCCACAATACAGGAGAGCCCAGGTCTTTGAGGGCTGGGGATATGAAGCAATTGAGGCGGTGGTTCTCGATGTTCAATCCCAGATCTGGCTATTTCGAACGTCATTCTACTCATAAACTTCCAATATCCAGCATTTTTATGCTACTGCCAAGTAAAAGGGCAACGGAGGCTTTCCAGTGTGTGAGGTTCAATATGTACCTATACTAGAATATTTGCCTTCATGTCACCGAGGAAGATTTAAGACAGGCACGAACGGAGGATCTACCGTTCAGAACAACCTGCAGGTTTACCTCCTCTCCCATCAGTTGGCTGGCCAGCGTTCGGAGCCATCAAAAGAGTCAGCATCAGTCTTTGGCATTTGTCCCCGTCAGTCTCTTCTAGTTGCAACTTTGCAAATACGGTGATTAATTCAGCACGGGCTTTCCGCGAATTGAATTTACGACCTGCGATTTAGAACCAAATGCAAGTTTCTTTCTGTGCTGTAAAGAGCGCCTAAGGTCGTCTTGGAGAAAGAAAAACGGGAGTTAAGACAGCCGCTTTTTCTTATTTTCCAACGACGTCCCTGTCGTACCTAAGACCAACTAACACACTGATAAGCACATAGCAGCATCAAACCCCAATGCTGTTGAGCCTTGTTGTGACGAAGGGTATAACCTAGCATAGCTGCTATACCTGTTGAAAGGTATCTTTCACTTTTGTCGTAGTGGCTTTGCGACTTTTTTTCTTTTTTTTGAAATGAGGCACATAGGTTAAGCAAGAAAAAGAGACACGAGAACGAGTATACCCGTTGGCTCATGTGGGCCAAGGCCCAGGCGAGCCAACCTAGCAAGCTAGGTTAGCCACAAAATTGTGATATAGTCACAAAATGTGATACAAAGCTATTTTATATAGAGGAAAAGAGATAAGAGAAGATATTTATATTAAGCAAATTTAAAGAAAAAATAATAAAAATAGTAATTAAGTACTTTAAAAATTTATATATCTTTTATACTCTTTAAAATTTTAATAAGTATTTTCTAGATTTTTAAAATAATTCTTTAGTAAATTTTCCTATATAAAATTTTTTTAAGAAGATTTTTAAATTATACCTAACTTTAGAGCTCTATAATTAGCTTATTAAAAGAGATATAAAAGTAAAAATAAGATATTTAAGATATTTAGATAAGAAATATTTTAAAAGACTTTAAACTTTTATTATATCTCTCTTAATAAGCTAGTTATAGCGGTTTAAAATAGCTATGGTTTTAGTTAGTTTTATCTATATTAAGTTAAGGGAAAAATATACTAAGCTAATTTAGGCTACTAAGTAATTTCTTATATATAGAAAAGGGAGGCAAAGGCTATAAAGCCTTACTTTTATTATTACTTTTATAGGCCTTAAGTAAAAGACTTTTAGGCTCCTTTATAGGTTATATTTTTATTACTATAAATTAATTAATTATTCTTATTATTTTATATTAAATTTACCTTATAAGAAAATATATAAAATCTCTCTTTTAAAAAGACCTTAAAAAAATATATATATAGATATTTCTTCCCTTAGGCTATATAATTTAATATATTTTATTTCTTTAATAAATTTAATACCTTTATATAAGAATTTTAATATTTTTATTTTTCTAGATTATTAATATATATTAAGAAAAATATATATTATTTAATTAAATAAAAGAATATATTTTTATATTATTAATTAATAAATTATAAATATAATTATTATTATTAGGCTATAAGAGAATAAAATATTAGAAATTATTATAAATAAAAAAAGGATAAGAATTAAAGAGACCTTAAGGAGCTATTAATTAAGAAGGGAGATTAATTATAAATATACCTTACCTTTCTTTAACCCTAGGTTTAAAGATATTATTTAATTAAATTCCGTTTAAGAATTAAGATTAAAATAAATCCCTAGAATACCTTATTAGAGGTAAATATAAGGAAATAAAAGTATTTATTTATTATAAATATAAAAGAAAATTATAATAATAATATATTATTAGTATAAAAAATAATATCTCTTAATAAAATTAATAATTTAGCCTTACTTAAAGTATTTAAAAGACTTTTAATTAAGTAATAATAAGAAATCTTAATAATAAGAATTCTTATTTAAATAATTATAAAAAATAAGGTTTTTATTATTTTTATTTTTATTCTTATAATATTTAAGGAAACCTTAATAATTAATTTATTTTATATTATAATAACTAAGAACTTAAAAATAAAAAATTAATTTTATTAAGAATTAATTAATTAAATACTTATTATTATAATTATTATTACCTTAATTATAAAGATAGCCTAGAATAATAAAGATATTAAATTTAAAAAAAAGCTTAATAATATCTAAGGCTAAAACCTAGAGATAAAAAATAATAAAGCTATTAAAAATAATAATAAGGTTAATAAATTCCTCTTTAAATTCTTAATTAAAAGATTAAATAATCTTTCTTTTATTATCTTTTTTAATTTTTTTTTTTTTTTAAGGGAAAAAATATAATTAAATACCTTAAGAATTTTAATTAATAAATAAAACTTATAAATATCTCTAAGGATAAAAAAATAGCTTTCTTTAAGTTATATATTAATCTAGATATTAAGAGAAAAGCCTAATAAGCTATAAATAAACTTAATTAAGAAATTACCTAAGAGAGCTTAAAAAAAGCCTTTATAAATAAAGATTCTAATTAATTAAAGATTATTAAGAAAAATCTTAAAATATTTAATAAGATTTATTTAAAAATAGACTTTTATATTATTATTAAATAATTAAATAAATATTAATATTTCTTTAGGTAAATTAATAAAAATTAAAAGGTATTTAAGACTTAATCTAAGGCTATTTATAAAGTATTCCCTAAAGAGGTTATTAAGGGTATTTATAAAAAATATAATAAGAATATCTATAAGCTTATAATTATAAAGTATTAAGTATTTATTTAAATAATTAAATAATATTATAAAAATAAAATTAAAATCTAAAAGACTTATTATTCTTAAAATAAAAAGGATATTTATAGAGTTATTTAGGCCTTAATTCCCCCTAAAAGCCTAAGCTTTTCTATAAAGATAATTAAAACCTTAAAGATCCTTAAGAAGAAATCTAATAAAGCTATAGCCTTAAAAATTAATTAATTAATTATATAGCTTAGCTAATTTATAATTAATATAATAAAGAAATAAAAATCTTAATTATATTTAACTTAAATCCTTAAGAGGGAATATAATAAG